TTACTGGCAACCGCAATTCAGAATATTGCAAAAGTCATGGCTCAATTCAGTGGGATCGAGCGTCAAGTCTCCGAGATATTCCGGCTGGCTTCTGGGTTTTCGACTATACTGACTAGACGACGCGCAGTATAAGTGACAGGCGAATTTCGACGTTCGAATCAAAATTGAAACGAAGATCGAACAGCTTGACAAATCGACCCCCACGCGAACTCCGTCTATGCTGAGAAAGGTATCGGTGATACAACGCATGGATGAGCCGTGCTCGACTTTTCGAAACGCTCAGCCATCGACCCCGACAAAAATTTGCTTCTCGGCACAATCCATCATTATCTTCGTCAGCATGTCCAAGAACTTCTACCGACCCTACTCCGCTACGCCGCTGGGAAGCTCTGAATTTACAAACTCGTGTTCATTTGCCAAATGGAGAAATATTACATGGCTTTCATCCGGGAATTACACAAACCCCTCCTGGAAATGATACGTAGCTCATCTGGAGGACGTCGATGGCGACCCAGATAGGACATTCATTTCCACGTGATCCTCGAACTCACATTAATTGAACGTCAATTCTCATTGAGCCGCCTACGAACAAACTGGGCTCCGACACAACGGACGACCGACCCTCTTCACGCGTTCGCGGAAGAGAATACGTCACCGCTGGGGGAAATTCTCGTTGGTAGAATCGCAGAGTGCTGCACTCGGAAGAATAGCCTAGAACTCGCTCCGACAATATGCGCGGGGAATCCGAGTGGGGACAAGCTGTCGTCGAGTCTCGACTTGGTACCTGCAGCTGATCTCTCATACAAGGATATTCCTGTGTTTTGTGCCCATGGTATCACTTGTCAAGTCATGGTAATACATGACAGGTGAGAGGACGAAGCTCTCAGTCATGCTATCTCGGTAGCAATGGAAGTGATAACTTACGTCCACATCGCCAGCGGCGTCGCCTAGCGTGGCGTGACTCATAGATGCTCTCAATAACGAACCCCGGTCCTCGGATTCATTGGGGCGGGAGAACTCATGGGTCCCGTATTTTATGGCGTCGCGGTTAGAGGATAGGTCAATCGAGACGTTTCCTTCTACTCATGAAAACAGGCAGCGTAGCGTCTCGCCTGCTATCTGTGGGAACCAGAATCATCATGCTCATGATTAGAGGTCGCGTAAGTAGCTCGTCGAGGGGAATTTCAGTTTTAGCCACGCCGACGGATATCCCTTACTCGGAAGCGGTGTGTGAACTAACCGCAGATCAGCCTAGTCCGATTTCACTCTGCCTCTTCCTGAGGTTCCTTGGGTAAAGTCGAGAAGTGTCTTTTCCCCATGGAGAGCGGGGCCGGAATTTCCGTCGAGATTCCCCGCCAAGGTCCCCGCCTAGACCCCTCAAGCCGCGGTCGACCGCATTCTAGAAGTTGACGCAGGTGCCAGTCGGCACCGAGGTCCTGCATCACGCTGATCCTGCCGGAGATATTAGCGATTCGGGTATCCTGGCCGCGTGTCTCATAATTCCGCGGGAAGTCTGTACAGTGAGGACGCAATCATGACTTCAGTCGCACTTAGGGCGAGATCTCGGCAAGGGAATAACTCCTTCCTTAAGGGATCAATTCTGCCTGGGTGGAACGCAAGGGGGACGGACGCTGCACCGCCGCCAGGAGAGTGTCTCCGGAGCCGTCGACTGCTCCGAGGTTAGGGGTTTCCGAGATGTAGAGACACGCGAGCCAGCGGAGCGAAGACAGAATCGTCACCGACAATCGTCTGACGCTCCAAGGAGCGATGCTTGCAGGCGGCGGCGTATCCAGGGGGGTGGGGCACCCCCTCTTCCCCAATTTTTCCCCCTGCATTGCATGACTACTGGGTGCCTCGTCATTTCCGGAAACCTGGTCTGCCCCCCCCCTAAAAAATCCTGCAAACGCTACTGCTTGCACGGCAGAGCAATGACGGAGAACTCCATGAGTCTCCCCGCAGATCCCCCATAGGCCTGAGTCGAAAACATTTTCCTGGAGAATAACAACTCCTGAGTTCTGCGAGTCGGGCTCTAAGCAATAAAGCCAAGGATCATAAACATGCGCAATCCGGGGATTCGTCACGTAGATGAGGCTTATCGCGTCGACTGCGCAAGCAGAGCATGAGACTATCCGCATATCGCTAAACAGGTCGAGGAGCGTGAATCACGTACCGATCGCTCTCCATGTATCAAACTGTCGAGAGGATGAGCTTGACAGATACGATGCGTCGTCATTTGTTCAGCTAACCCCGTTCCGCTCCGAGCGATTTCAAGCATCCGACAAGGTTGTGCGAGAGTTCAACCGATTTTATGTAGTTTTGCGGATGCGATGACTCCGGACTTGTAATCCATTAGCGCGATTGGAGAAATTCCCAGCGTCTCTCCCGAGAAGAGTACAGCGTCCTTCTCATCTTGTATCGACAGGGGGAATTTTACCGCCCTTCCCGAACAGAATTCAAAACGTGGAAAAGGAAAAAGCGACTGCTGGAGGCGACTCGCGGCGTCGCGTCCGACCTGGCGTCATGCGCACAAAAAGTAGCTTACGTATACGCGTAGTTCACAGCGACAAAAGAAGCCACGTCGCTGTTCTTATCCGGCAGAAATCATGCGTGCGTTGCATTATTTACCATAACGAATTCAAACAACTGTCTTCCCCTCACGACCGCTCGTGGCTGCGTTTCGAATTCATGCTTGCCCACAGATAGAATTAGCCGTTTTTGTGCGACCCGCCTGGAGACACGAACAAATGGCTCGATTTGCTGCACTCGACTTCCTCATAGCTAGGAAGCACTCTTCCGATCCAGTCAGTATGCCTCCTAGTCCCGGCGCTCGAGAGCTTGAATGATTAAGGAGGATTTCCCCTCCGCCGATATATAGCCGAATTTTCAGGGATGGCGACAGCGAGCAGAGGTGGAATTCAATGAATAACTGAATGAATCCGGGAAAAATGTACTTTTGGGTATTCTGAAGTTCAGTCACTGGAGTCACAGGACGGATCTCTCCGATGGAGTCCTTAATTGAATTTGTGTTGGAGTCCCGCTCCGGCTGCAAGTGCACCTAAACTCCCGGGGATATCCACCAGGTGATTAGGTCCTGGCAGGTGGCCGGCGCTTAGAGGCTTGAGACCCCCGTAAATAAATGACAGAATGGCACCCAGCAACTCAGTTGCCCAGATCCTGCTCCGTCCGCATCGGCCTCCCACCCGTCACGATACTCTAGCGATTAGGCAATCGATCAATTCTCGAACCGACTAAGCCCCCGACCAATAACGAGCAGGACCAGATTCCGAATCCTCGCGGCGAGCGGGTTTCCGACGCCCACTTCGAAATTCGCACACAGTTGCGAATGGCCTGACACCCGATGTCCGTGTTCGATGTTTCAGCCCTCGCTGGTTTCGGGGGGGGGCAGAGTGGAGCGGGAGTTAGCTTCGGCGTCAGCAAGCCGCAATTCCCTCGGGAACTTATTGTGCACATGAAGTTGTTCGGGAGTCTCGCGTGATCCTCCAGACTAGCTCATGCATGAGTGCCCGGGTGCGATCTTCCCCCAGCTCCTTATTCTAGAAACTCCTGAACGTACACGACGCATAATTTCGACGAAGCGGCGTTTCCATATTTATCGATTTCGATTCTCCGTGTCATCGGATATCGGTATTCGCCCCGGAGTCCTACGATGAGGCTCCGAGCATGACTTTCCTCTGTTTATCGCCTTACGTGCCCTCTGCAAAAACCGTCCGCTTGTCCCTCGGTGCATCAGAGCAAGTCGCACGAATCGTGCCGATGCTGCTTCACTGAATCGGGGTCGAGCGGCCAAGACCGACAACTCAATTTGTTGCAGCCGAGTGCAAGGCGAGGCGGGGGTGTGGATGGCGAACAAGCGAGCCTTGCGGTAGATCAAGAGAGCAGATTCTATCTGCTCAGATCAGCGCACGTCGCATGCGCGCAACCAGGTTTCCCGCTGGGGACCACACGCGGTACCGACTGTGGAGTCCCATACTGTGCGCTGATCGCACATCAGTCTTCCGGAATCCGAAGAGCTCCACCGACAAGGGAACAGTCCGAAGTAATGGACGATCTCCCGCCTGGTCGGCCGGTGTGAAAGAATAGAGAGACCGGCTTGGAGGTAGAGAAAAGTCGGCAGCTAGCAGGAATTCCTCCGCATTGCCATCCTGTCCTAGCCCGTGGGATTGCACTGTGAGGGGGGAAGGGGGAGGATCGGAAAGACTTGCAGTCAGAGACATTGCTTGAACGAACTCAAGCTTCTATCCTTTGGTAATAATAAGCGATGATCTTCGCGAGTTCTCGAGAGATACTTCGGAAGCGAAGAATAAATTCAGTCGATCCTGTGATGATCACCTTCGACGAGAAGGCAGAAGAGGAACAGCAAATTCCGTTATGTCTTCAAACCTCGGCCGCTCCACACAGCGCGGGTCTCAACCGCCACTGACTCACTCGTGCACTGGGAGACATGTTTGTACAACGCAAATTACGTGTATGCATAAAAACACACGGACGCATACTCTCGGTTGGAGAGTTTTATATCATGACAAGAGACAAAATTTTTACATGAGGACATGTGCCGAGATGTCTTACTTATCAACGAAGTGTCGCTTCGAGCGAACGGCAGCGCGGAGTCTGACGGAATATGGTTCCACGGAAAACGCGTGCCAGCTCCGTCCTTTTTTCTAGAGAGAACGGGCGCAGGCTCGATCGCGAGCGGAGACGATTATGAAGCTCTCGACGCTCCGCGCGAATGGGCCACACGGGATGAGCTCTCTCGTCTCCGCCCCTCAGTGCCAAGATCCCTCCGAATCAGATGTTGTTCCGCTGAAACGGGACCTCATCATTGGCTCGTACGGACTTCCGCGAGATGACGCCAATCGACCGAATCCACCCGGCGATCATCTTACTGCCGGTGTCGACACGGCTGCGAGCGTTTGCCACATTCGAAAACGCCGCGCCCTTGGCGCGTGTCTGGGATTCGAAGCCTTTCCTCGGTTTCGAATGTTTCGCTTGCGAGGAGCCCGTCAGATGTATCTCTTCAGCTTCTTCAATCCACTTCGTCTTTTTAGCTAGTGCGATAGTGATATTTCGTGTTCAAATTTCTGTCAATGCTGCACCCCTGCCGGCTGTATGGATCCACATTCAAACGCCATCGAAGAGAACTTCGGTTTGGCTGAAAATCCACAACAGTTCATCGTCACGACAGAGGCATCCCTTTCCGGTGAGCTCAAGGGGTATTCCCGAAATTCCCTCCTCGGGAAAACTCATATCCACGAGTCTTTGAGCTCTTCCTCTCTTTGAGTCGACTCCCCCCTCCCTCTGGCATCATGTCGTAGCGATATTTTACTTACCTCAGACCTTATTGGCAATTATTGCAGGTACGGATGGCGAGGAAACTCAAAATGCCCACGACGTGATGATGAATGGAGAGATTGGGCCGCTCAGGGAACAGGACAGGTCAGTGAGGGGTGGTTTCCGAATTCAATCAAATGCTTCATTCCCATATGTGACACACCGCCATGCATCGATCGAGCTCGTCGAAGCCGAAACTGATAGCCCATGCGAAATCGCCCTAGGTTTCTTCCGATCGCGAACGTCGTGAGAATCATGAAGACCGTCATTCCCAAAAGCGGCAAAATCGCCAAGGATGCGAAGGAGTGCGTTCAAGAGTGTGTCTCTGAATTCGTCAGCTTCATCACTTCCGAGGCTTCAGATAGGTTCGTGAGCTGGAATGGCACAATCGAATCTTAATTTAATCCTCTAGCTACTCGTTTTGCGAGCTTTGTTGCTAGTTTGAATCATGCGCGGAGACACCAGCAATTCAAACGTTTCAGATGCCACCAGGAGAAGAGGAAAACAATCAATGGAGAGGATATCCTCTTCGCGATGCAGAGCTTGGGCTTCGATAATTACCTCGAACCACTGAAAATCTACCTGCAGAAGTATAGGGAGACCGGTGTCAAGGTGAGTGGCGCCTTTGCGCACTTCAAGCCGATGGAAAAGTTCTGCATGGCTTGTAGTGTTCCCTAGTTTCCATCTTTAAAACCTCGTTCACTCTAGGAGTTCAGGATGCAGTATCCTTGTTTTCCCTTCCAGCCGGCTGACCAACAAGCGGCCTCGAACAATTCGAACAACTCGTCCACGTCCGGCAGGTCGATCGTTCCGAAAGAAGAATTCAATGCGGTTTCGGGTCAGACGAGCAGTTCCGTCGTAGCTGCTGACTCCGCCATTGAAGAGCTCGGAGCCGACACTTTCATTACGGCAAACATGCTCGACCAAGACGCATCGCAAAATGTCATCTATTCGACTGGGTTTGGGGAATTCTGAAATCCTAGCTTGGGTCCCTGTACTTTGTGTCACATGAGCGAAAAACGTCATCACCCGAACATTTGTAAACTATTCATTCCTGTAGAATGATCCGTTAAAATAAATTCAAGGAAAACTTTCAAGGTTATGCGAGAGTTTCTTCCTAATGCCGTATTTGAGATTCGTGTTCCCACGTAGAATCTCTCCCACAGGAGAGGGTATAGGATCTCCCCAGGATGAGTCCAACGTGGGCATTCCCGTCGAAACCGGGAGAAGAAATCAGTGGGATCGAAGCAGGTCTACTAGCTTGCTTCGCCACCACGTCTCCTCAAGCCGCGATCTGTTTCCCTGCCATATTGACGGAGATCACATCGGATGGAGTCAATTCATTGCCATTTCGGCCGCCGGGCCTTTCTTCCGGGAGAGCGATCGCTTCCAAGAGGCGATTTCGAAACTCACGACCGAACGAGGGCGCGCTGTACTCGATGATCAGTTGATGAGAACCGCTCCGAAACCTTCAAGGACTATCACCAGCGATTCCCGAGAATTCTCCGGGAAGCTTCCCTTAATTCGCTTTCCAGAAGGAATTTCCAGTGTTTGATAAGCGTGTCCTATCGAGTAGGATTTCATATACTGAGAAAATTGCTCGGCGAGCACAGTGGCGCGCTGAAGTGAATGTTTCTGTTTAGGACGCATTGGCGCATCTTGCTCCCCCGAGAACAGAAGCGGAATTCCAGTGCCTTCCCAATCCGCGTGCTCGAGGCCGACTTCGAGTGGGAATTCATGTCAGGGTCAGGAATCACTGTCTCATCGTCAAATATGAAAAACCTACAGTCTGCGAGACGACTCCAGTCGCTTCCGTCCATTGGAACCATTCGACCACGAGATATCAAATCTTCTGGTTTGTTTTCGGAGGAATCATCTGCGTTCAATCGGGTGCTTCTCATTAAGGTTCCCATGAATCGCCCGAGATTACATCGAACTCATGATATCACCCCTGGATGAGTTTCGAAGGTCATTGCCGAAGTCTCACCCATAGTACCGTGTGCCCCGGTCCCATACCCTGAAAAACTCGGAAGATTCTCTGACCTCAAGCATTCCGGATGATATTTTGCTGCACACAAATCCCCATCCGCGGCTGAATACTTCAGGAGGACACACCAGGACAACGAATCATCGATGCAATGAATGGATTTTGAACCCCAGCACCCCAGGCCATCCGAGTCCTCGAACTTCGAATTTCCCGTCCCCTCCCCCCTCCCCAGTCCCTTGAATTCGAGGTATTCCGTCACGAAGAACAAGAGTTCCGATGTGAAGGCATTCCTCGGCGAATAAATCGAGGAATCCGTCCAGATTTCGGTCATGCATTCGGCGATTGACATGTGCCGATTTCCTCCCCGAACTCAATAATGGCACCTCAGATCGCGAAAGGCTTAGCTAGATGAGTCGACCTTGCGCACAAGGACGATCTCCATGCCGTGGCAGGACGATTCCGTCAAGGCTTTTGACGGCTCTCCAGATTTATCTCTCGCCCATCAGCCGTGAGGAATCATTGGTATCGACGACTGTGACGAGTGTCTCAATACGGCGAAAGTTTTGTGCCGAGCTGGTGATGATGTTCCCGCTGCAGAAGACTCTCTTCCGATGGTTCGAGTTCCTATTGTTACGAATTCTCAAATTCTGGAAATGTGACCATGAAGTTCAGGAAGGCTCAAGTGGGTACCAGAAATACGTTCCGCTAATGGGAACATGAAATTCATGGCAATGATCAATGATCGGCGCGCGGCGCAAGGACTCAACAAGATCCCTAGTCTCTAGTAAACTTTCGCCAGCAGCCCGTCTCGAATAACGTTTCTGTAAATTTTCCTTGAGTTCCCCAGAACAAATATATTTTTTCTCCCCATTCAGACTTCGTGGACATTTTGCGGGTATTGATCTGTAAGATCATCTTCGCTTTTGCTCGAAGAACGCGTCTCCCCGCGTACGATTTTCGAAAACTGGATCCCTATAATCGCGGCCTGCTGTACCGACAGGAAGAAAAAATTATCGAATACCCTGTACCCCCAAGGGTTATCGAGGAGGAGGTGAGTCCAATTTTTCAATCAACGAATTATCGAATGTAGCCCATGCTCCGATCAAATCTGAGGAAGCCAAGAATCTCCCTTTTTCTGATCGCTGATAACTCGCTAGACGATCGAGACTTGGACAATCATGGAAGAAATGATTTGACGAATTACCCATCTCAGAACTGCCAAATGATCCTCGTTGCACGGTATGCAGCCGAAACTGCGTTCCGTGATGAAGTCGATGAACATCAGAAAAGACTCAGCGATTTTTCTGGCTGAGCGAGGTCGGCAGAGGAGATCGAAAGGATTCCGCGACTCTGAGTGTAGAGCTTTTAGCTAATTCTATCGGAGAGACGCTGCAATCTTGACCTCGAGCTCAGCGGTGGCCAAGGACGGGATTGAGAGCTGAGATTAGAGCGATAACCATGAATCAGCACAATACACTTAATGATGAGCGAAGTTCCGGGCCTTAGAGCTTAGTTAGGAGATAACTCTAACAAAAGTGCTCTGGTCGGAAGAATTACGACTGCCCCCAATTGATCATTTAGAGACCATCGATCAAAGAGCATGTTTCGAAAGATTGAGTACGCTGCTGAGATGAGCTCATGATTACGCGATATAGCCCGATGGCTTTCCCCATTATTTGACCTTAACCTTCCTCGAGCCACCCGGAGCAATTTCGGGATGCGTCCACCTTGGGAAAAGATGATTCGTGCAGAATCATTCGAGCGCTCGAGACGAAGAATGTGCTCCCATTTTCATGCTCCGATCGATTTCATAATGGGACAATATTCATCCATATAACTCTTCGCGCAGGGTCCGCAAGAACTTTTGTTAACGGCTATCCGGACGTCCGGCGAGCTTCTGGTAGTCCGCTTCGTTCGCGCACGTCAAAGACAAGCTGAAATTATTATCCTGGTCAGAGATTCGAGAGGAAGAACTTTCACGAATCAGGTCATCGCGGACAAACGCTTCCCTCTCGATATCAGTAACGGGAATAAATTTCAGGTATGTTTGGGTGTTCATCCCGAGAGCTCGTCCTGGGGCCGGGTTTCTAGAGTGAGCGAATGGCTTCTCGAGGAAGCTATCTTATGGTTTCCATAAGCGGATTCAGAGATCCCCCTCTGAGTGCCAAGCAAGCATCGTGGAGGATCGGTGCCATTCTTCGAGTATGACAGTAGTATTCTAAAACGCTCGTTTCTCCGAAGGCCGGCGGTCTCCGGATTAAATGCGTAGAGCCTTTGAGGAAATGGCGAATCGCCTTCAATGGATTGCTGATGTGAGTTGAAATATACATGTACCTCTGCAGTCCATCCCTATTGCTTGTCAACATCCCAATCCCATCCATATGTCAACAAATATCTCGATTTTTGATGGAATGAGGAGCCGGCTCGAGTCAGTGGTGAATGCTCTTTTTTCTCCCGCAGAAATAAGGAGACGGGTGCGACCGCATACGTCCGTTTCGTCTTCGCGTGAGTAGCATGATTCCGCAGCGATGGTGGATGCCTCGAAAGCGTCGAGTCAGGGTCGATGAATCGACCACGTTTTCCCCCGCTCTAATCCGTGAACCGCCTCAAATTCAGGTGGCACGCTCTGTCCCACTTCTCGGACTGGTCTCGCGATGTGCCGGAGAAGCGTCTTTTCGACTTCTGTCTCGACCGGAAGGCCAATAAAAAAATCTCAGATACCGTCACTAATCTCGATGTGTAAGTTCCGGAAGCGTTCACGAGCAAACTCATCTCCCAATCGGAATGACAAGACAAATCATCTTACCGCTCCGCAATAGGTGTCGGGAGTACCTGAACGGTTTTGAGCAGACCGGTTATTGCGTCGGAACCATGCAAGTGTCTCTGAAGGGCGGGGAATCCGATGTAGCTCCAGAACCAGAGCAAGAACTGCATTTGCGGGGAAACTTCCTGAGAATTCGTCATCCAGATCCATCATCGACCAGCTCTCTGAAACTCACCGGATTCTCGCACAATCTGACCTACAGCAAGAAAGGGCATCTTCTTCAGCTATCGACCTTGAAGTTCGATAATGGGAAAGATCTGATCTTCGGAAGCTTTCTATCGACGCCTGGATTCAAGGACCCAGTAGAGTCGATCCAGAACGACCACGGAGCTGAAGCAAGCCTCGAAGATGTCCTGTATGCCCCCAATCTGAAAATCAGCACCTGTGAGTTTGTAGAGAGGGTCGGGAACTCTGCGGAACGATACTGACGCGGGAGATATCTGATCTCGCTTCTCTCCATGCTCTTCTTCAGTTGAACTCTCGCACGAAGTCCTAAGGTCTGAGGGGTCGATCCTTAGCAGCTACAAGTCACATCTCGGCTGGGATGATGAGCTCCAAATTTCCACGTTCGAGGCCTTGATAGATAACGTCACATCCGTGGGACTCTCGATCAGGGGAATCATGTAAGTGGGCGGAGTCTACAGGGAAGCTCTCTTCTACGCTCCTGCCACGAACACCTTGGGGACTCGAATTCACGACTCTTTGCTCATTCTTAGCACAGGAGACTGCAATGACGATCTGTTGAAGCCACCGTTAAACCTCCTGGAATTCGGTACGTCGATTGTGCAAATGAATATGAGGCCCGCAAGACGCTCGCGAATTCCCGAATTCCGAAGTAGGTGAGAAGATAATCATGACCGTGTTTCCCTCCCAATCCCAGATCCAGTGGCCGTCCCCGCACCGTACGTCGTCAGCCTCGAGGATTCTCAATGCAAGAGCAGCGCTCTGACTGGGGGCAAAGGATCGTCCCTTGCTGTCCTCACGGAGCTTTCGGGTATCACCGATGAGGGCGTAAAATTCGGGGTACCGAGAGGAGTTGTGGTCACCACTGAAGCTTTCCGCCACTTCATGCAATCACCCTCAATGTACTCAACCAGGAAGAAATTGAGCAGGGTCCTCGAGACAGAGACTGTCGAACAGGTCAAAGAAATCTGTGATGAATGCATGAACGACGTCAAAAAAGAACCCATCCGAGCGGCTATTTCGAAAGACATTCTCCAGCGTCTCTACGAGATCTTCCCGGATTTTTCTTCAAAACGTTTCGCGGTGCGCAGCTCATGTGCCGGGGAGGATTCCGAGGATATGTCAGCCGCTGGACAGATGGAAACCTTCCTCGGGGTGAAAGGAGAGGAACAGGTATCCGCAAAAGTTTGCTCTTTCTCCCGTGAGGATAGTCCAGGAGAAATCATGGGATGTGTGGAATCCAAGCCTCTTGGCGTTGATATTGGCTCAGTTTTCGCTCCGTTCGGATCACCGAGAGCTAATGTGTGATTTTCGCTTCCTAGATAATCGCATCGCTTTCGAAGTGCTGGGCCTCTCAATTCAGTCACGTCGCTATAGAGTACAAGAAACGCTATGGCCAGGAACTGGTCAGCGACATGGCGGTCGTGATCATGGAGATGGTTCCAGCGGAGAGTGCGGGCGTCATGTTCACTTGTGATCCCCTGACTGGCGATCCGTCGACAATTTACATCACTTCGAACTTCGGTCTTGGAGAGGTGGGCAGCGGTCTCAGGTCTCGCCGAGCATCAGCAATTAGATCGCTTGAGCTCCTGCCAGGGTCGACCCAATGAATGAGCAAAGTTCCTTTCCAGAGCGTTGTGTCGGCTCTGGCCGACCCCGACACTATACGTGTGCATCGAGACATCCGTGGGAAACTAACAGTGGGAGAAGTGGCTTTGGGAAAGAAAGATGTTAAAATCGTCATGGACAAAGGTGAGCATCGGGTCGTGGGGCCCGATGAACAAGGCACAATCATGCAAGACTCAGAATGACGAATGACCAGCACCTCTGTTTTCCCCTCCCCCAGATAGCGGAGGTACCCGTGTGGAAAATATATCCAACAACGACGCTTCATCACTCAACTCCGCTCAGGCTGAACATTTGGCAAGAGTTGGGGCAGAGATCGAACGCGCCTACGGCGACTGGCGGGATGTTGAATGGGCTTTCGCCGATAACACTCTGTACATTCTGCAAGCTAGACCGGTGACTTTCATGGACAAACCATCGGACTTTGAAATTGCCACCGACTTCGAGATTTCATCAAGGGCAGAATCCCCTGCATACTCTAAGGCCAATGTTGGGTAAATTCTTGCATTTTTTGTGCAATATATCCGAACCATGTGAAGGCCACTCTGCGGGCTCGGCTGCTGACCCCTTACATTCCCTTGATTTTCAGAGAGGTATTGAATGGAGCCATAAGCCCACTCGCCCTCACAATGATGAATAAATTATTCTCCATCGATGTACAGGTGATTTTTGCCGTTGTCCCTCCTTACAACGAGACTAATTGAAATAGTCGAGTGCTCGACGAGTCCCGCACTGCGGTTGCTGACAACAGGCTCATGAGACAGTGGGGATCTTTGAGTTCCTCTTAATATCAATTTTCCCGTTGCAGAGAGAGAAGGGCGCTCATGCCCGAATGAAACGTTGTGCTTTGACTCCTTATTACGATTCAGCTTTGCGACTTGCTCGCTATCATTTCTTCCTCGACTTTTCGGAGGTACAGCACGAAATCCGAAATCGCATGGCTCGCAGCTCATCCGAACACTATCACCATATGAATTCGACCCCATCCTTCCAGGCGATCCGCATCTTCATGCCGGATCCGTCGAACAGAGCTCAAGTCGATTCGATGATGCTCAATATATGCGGTCGCATTTTCGATGACGACGAACTCTACGAGGACATGCAAGACAACACCGACAAAGCGCAAGAAGTTCCGTACTGGACGACGAAAAAAGACCTCGTCAAGGTTTGTGGGCTAGGTGTGGCAGAAAAACTCGGATCGGCCAGCGTCGAGAGAGGCATTCACAGCTTGCTGATTTTCTTGGCTCCACAGATGAAGTATCTCGCCAAACCGATGTACTACGCATACAATTACCTAGCACGGAAGAGAGCGAGATACCCCGACAGCAGCATGACCGTGAACGAGCTTTTCGATGGCCTTTGTGATGGCTTCAACAACACCACGGACTGCGGGAGTCGTCCGCACATGAACTCGTCCAATGGTTCGGCCCAATGGACGAGTCGTATCGTGGAATATTTGCAAGATGTGACAGATGGTGTGTATCGGAGGAATATTTTTCCGGAATCTGACGGCCAGATGACTTCTACCGAGTTGGATGGAGTTCTCCGGAATAAGGAATTCCATTCGCACCGGGTGCTGGATAATGGTGAAAACTTCTTCCAGAGTCGGTCGAAACAATCTATGGGGATATGTCACGTCTTCTCGCATCAGCCGACGATGTCGTCAGCTGTGAAGTTCCTAAAAGATTGGAGGTGAGGGGGGAGTCATTCAATCTCGACGGTCTCCTGATCCTGGCAGCGCTCCTCACCTCATTTTATGCCTTTTTGTTCCCGCTCAGAAACTCGGCATCCAGGTTGGCAGCGAGATCGGTAGAGAAAAGCTCCTGAACGCTTCTTCGGAGGAAGCAGAACAGCTTCTCAGAGACGAAGGGAGATACCCCGTCTCTGCGGCGGCATTCCGAGAGTTTCTTCAGGACTTCGGACACCGGGGTTACAACGAGTTCGATTTATACAGGAAACCCTGGGACATGGATGCGAGCCCCGTAATCGCAACGCTGCAGACAATGATGCGGAGTCAACTCGAAGGCACTCCGAAAAAGTATGAGAGCATCATGGCATCCATCGACGGAATGACGTGCAAACTGACCACGTGGCAAAAGTGAGAATTATCCCTCTGTCTATGTGGCAGCGATTTCCCGGAAAACGATGAGCTTAACGCGAATGTTCCCCGGATTGTGGAGGAGCTGAAACGATCGTATTTTCCAGGCTACGCCTCGCTATAATCGTCTTTTTCGCGAGGAAGGCGGTGGGCGTTCGCGAAAACACGAAATCTCTGTGGATCTGGACTCAGAACGTGACTCGAAAATGGGCTTGGGCTTTGGCTCTCAAGATGAAGCAAGAGGGCCGCTTGCCAGACGAGAATCTTCTGTTCTTCTGCACGGTGGAAGAGCTTCACGAACTGATCCGCGATCGTAATCCCGCAATTATTTCGAGGTCTGCATCGATTTCTCCACCGCTCAGCCCAACTCCGATTTCACGTTTCGATAATGCGATGCCGACTAGCTTTGACGTCCTTCACTCATATCTTAATCTCCACCAGAGCCTTCGACAGGATGAGATTATTCCCCGATTTGGTGAAACAAGAATTCCGCGAATACTTCCGAGGCATCCCCACCCCGGTGAGATTTCCACCCAAAAACTATCCGGACTCAGCTCGAGATGTATGAGCCTACCTAGGGAAAAATGTCAGGTCCATCTTTCGGATGAAAATCAAGAACCACTCGACAGGCTCCGGATCCGTTGCCCGTCTTCGAGGATGGCGTGGTCCAAATGAAAGGATTCCCGATCAGCAAAGGCAGGATTCAAGCGAAGGCACGAGTTATCAACAATCTCGAGGACGCAGTCCAAATTCAGGTTCGTAGGGGGAAAAAGCTCGACGAGCAGTCATAATTTCCAAGACGCGACGCCGATACGTACTGCCGTCCGAGGAATCATGTGTATCCAGTATATTCGAGCGCGGAGACCCCCTTCCTCAGACGAGAGCTTTCGAGCGTCACTTCTGAAACGAGTTTATTGCCTTGCAGAAGGGAGAAATACTGATAACCTACGCTACAGACATTGGTTGGTCGCCGTACTTCCCGATGCTCGGAGGGGTAGTCACAGAACTGGGCGGTCTGATGTCCCACGGAGCAGTCGTAGCGCGCGAATACGGTCTACCTTGTGTGGTAGGACTACTCGGAGCCTCCAGAGTTTTCCGTTCCGGAGACACAGTTTTACTAGACGGAGCTCAGGGGGTTCTGATTCGTATCGAGGAAGCAGCTTCGAGCGTTGCGCAATAAATGCGATGGTGATCTCGAACGAGCGCAACTAGCTATGCGGAATATCTCTTCCACCCGACTCTAGTAAATTGGCGACCGAGCTCGATGCCGTTCCGCCTATGCCGGAATGCCGGGTCAGCTCTATGCTGTGATATTTCGATGACATAACAAAGCCGCGCCGTATCTGAGGACTCGATCCCGCAGAGCTCGACGGTGAGAGAGATAATGGCAAGCTAGAAATGTTTCGACGGGCTAAATTTCCTTCGCAGGCGAGAGAGATGATGAAAGATTCTCGTCCCAGCCCCGGATTGAACGGGGCAATACGCAATCTTGAGTCAGATTGCGGATCATGGTGCATTCCGTAGGTCGTCGTCAGAAAGTTGCTCGCGGATGCTTCATCTTTCTCAATTATGATATCGACGGATGGCTGAGCTCGATATGAAGAATCGGAGATCCCTATATTGTTAGAGCTTATAACCCGATGCCCCAGAGCGTCCGATTCATGCTGTTCTGCCGGGGTTTCTAGCTACTCTCCGCAGTTTTCTTCTCTTTGTCTGCCGCGAGATGGTCGCTTTCGGGTATGAGGATGTGCAGACTGGGCTGTGTGTCGATAAATCCAGGATGAGCGGAGGGCTGCAGTGTGGATTTGTCGTTCGGTAGCTCGTGCTACACTCAAATCACATTCTGGAGCACTTTGTTCAGGCAATTCATGATAGCTCACAGCACACGTGAGCATAGAATGTAGAATTTGTCGAGAGGAGGAGTAATTTTTTCATGACTTCCCCGACGCTAGACAGATATCCTCCGAGTATCGCTGTGCTGTGCATTCCGTTCACCGGTCTCGCTTTCCGAAGCACGATTGTGGTCTCCTGAAGTTTGTGCGCTCACTCAGAAGCAGAGCCTGCTGGAGCAGGAATGTGAATGCTGCGATACGTGTCCGGTCGTTTCGTATACAGCATTCACTCGATGAAATGCGAAGCGTATCACCACGAAAATCAGCTTGAGATCGTCCGAACCGGGATGATTGAACTCGGCCCTCGATACTCCGCGCATTCAAGCACGCGTGAAACTGACGAGATTCGAATGCGGTAGAATCACCTAAGTTTAGCCATCGAAAGCTCCGAGAACTCAGTCACTCACGTGGTGCGGGAACGTTCCATACGCTCTCCCAGGACGCCAGAGCACAACCAGTCAAAGCCGCGGCTCTGCCGGATCCGATCGAGGATCGGCTCCTCCGAGTCAAGATCAATTGAAATCCCCAAGGCCATCCATCGGTGGGGAGAAGCAGGGGAGGGAAATTGAGACATTCGAGCAAATCGGTGGCCAAATCATTCCGGCAAGTTTCTCACGTGGGAGGAGTGTACTCGAGAGAAGGATGAGGTTCCTATTGACGGCAGCAGCCGTCCACAGAGGGATAAGGGCTAGAGTCGAAAGCAGCGAGGAGTTCATTCGTGAGTGAAGTGCCTTTCCTGTCAAGAACTATTATTGACATCAGAATCGCGGATGGGAGCCATGAACTATTCTGTCCAACGTTCTCCCGATCGTACTGCTCATTTCGCCCCTACCTCCCCCCCCCCCGCGTATTCCGCCCATGAGATGCCCTTCCCCCTTATGTCTTCTCTACAACGTATGATCCTAAGCTCTCCGAATCCAACGCTATCAGCTCTCCCTACAGGTCAGAGCTCTCAGCTCTCACCTGTAGGGAGAGCTGAGAGCTCCCCTTGTCAGTTTTTTTCTCAGTGGGTATACATGAGCTCCGCTTTTCAGTTGAGTTTCCCACTCGTCTAGTTAGTGCGTCAATGCATTTTTTCCTACCCCTGGGCACTCCTGGGCTCCTCCGGGGCACTTTTCCTTCCCCTAAGTGCTACCCCCATTTTGCACTCGCAGTTCCGTTCGAGAATCATAGGGTCACCCCTTCGCGAGCTGCTCCACCGACGAAAAATGAAGCTGGAGAAGCCGTGTCATTCATTGGATCGCTATTGTGAACTCAGAGCTCTTGCCTTCAGAAGTTCCGTTGGGTTCTTGCCCGGGTTTCCGCAAGGATTTCGGTGAGGATTCCCGTCGGGGTTTCCGCCAGGACTGTCGTCGGAATCTCCGTCAGATAGGCTCCAGGACCTCTCGTGGACCTCTACACCCCAAGTACATACACTCCATGAATAATAGTTCGTCTCAAGAAGCAATGACGAGGGGCAGCAGCTTCCAACTCCCTCCAAACATGGTGGTCCAGTCCGCAGATATCCGCGATCAGAGTTGATGCCATCTGTTCCTTTCAATTTCACCGCGAAGGAGAGACTTCGAATCCGATAGCTCCGAGTCTTTTTTTCTTTCTGGGCTCTTGATTAACAGTGTATTTATGATAATATCCGATGACGATCCGGAATGGTGCCAAGAGACCCTTCACGCGCAAAGGATGTCAGATATTGCTTTTTTCATCTGGACGCTCGGAGCTCCATGGCATGTAGACGCAAGACTCCAAGGGCAGTCGAGGGCAAAACACGCCACCCGTTTGGTGTAAGGGATTGGCGACGAAACACAATCCTTCCAGAGTCCAACGCGGCCAGGTCAGTGCATCAGACCATTTTTCGAGTTTGACCGACGTCCACTTGCTCTTCGACTCCGCCTGCGAAGGAAAATTTACGTCATGGAATTATCACCCGAAGGAGAGCCGCTCTTCGTTTTCCAAGTCTCAACCCACCAAGATAGGACGAGATACGTACCTCCTTTATCGAGTCTAGGATATCCGATTTCCTGAAGCCGAGGTATCGTTCCACGGTGCTCAAGTCCGTGTCGGTATAGCCGTGATCCGGGCCGCCGTTCACGATTTCGGAAACGCTCTCGTTTTTCAATGGCAAGTTGTGGTGGAAAGTCTGCGGCTGAACTGTGGAAAAGAGGAAGAGTTCTTCAGAGTTTGGGAGCCGCGTTCGAACATCCAGTTAATTCCCCGCGGGCGCACTCCATCAAGACCCCAAACACATCAAGCATGATATGCGAAAATCCAGGGAGTTTTAGACGGAAACTAACCCAAAAACGATGTTTCAGCCATCAGCACCCAATCCTTAAAGACTTTCAATTGCCAGTTGCCGGGTCGTAGAGGCTTCCTCAGAGGCGGTTTATGGTTCTGGATTTGCTCGTTGCGAGTCACCTACGCGTAGAAAAGTTCCTCGATTCATATTCCAGGGAATAGGGTAAGGGATTGGCCTCCCTATCAAGAGAAAAATTGAATCCTTTGGTACGGTATTCCATGCGCGGGACGTTGAGAGTTGTAGAACCGAATAACTCACGTGGATTTCATAGGAACCAGCGACGACCTTTGCGGGATCGATCCAGACGAATGTGACCGACCCTGCAGGTCCTGCATCCCACTCCTGAACGACGCCAGGTTCGCTGTATGGGCCTAAACGTCCAAATCAGTCCGAAATCGAGTTAGAAGGATTCCGGGCGTGGCTTGAATACAGGTTCCCTCCCAGATTAGATATGCAGAATTCATTTAATTTCCAAACCCTCACCGATGATTCCGGCGAAATTCCGAGACAAGAGTTCTTTGAGATCGAACTCTGTCGAGACCTCGAGTCCTCTCAGCCGATCCGCGAAACGATCGTTTTGAAATCTATCGGATCGTTTGAATGGGTCAACTCGTCTGAAGATGGCCTCGCTCCTCACTGGCTCTGGTATATGCTCGGCGTGCGCTTCAAAGTTTATGACTAGACCTGCGGGAACATGGCATTTCAGACGTGCGTTCCTAGAAGTATCGATATATCGAAGCACGCGCGAACCCACCCTCAAAGTTGTCCTCCTTGAAATAGAGCCAGGCTTCGAGTACTCTCACAGCTCGGAGGACACAATGACTGCCCTGGTTGGCAAGGTGCTCGACAGCTAGACGTGCCAGGGAAGTCCAGGCCGACAGACGTCCTTGATCGACCGGAGGCGAACGATCGAGGTGGTGATACTCGTTTTGCCAGAACGATGAAAGGCTCTCAGTGTGTGCTGTCGAAAATCAATTAGTCGTGGAGCGTTACTGAGAATAAGCCGGAACCCCAGACACAATAGGGCCCTCCTTGATTTGGGAGCGAACCCTTTGATTCGTTGGGTACCGGCAGATATAGCCGATCGAGATTAGCGGGGATAACTCACTTGATGTCTTTGGTTTGATACCGATCTGTCCTTCGACGAAGTTCAAAGTGCTTTGGGAGATCACAGGCTCGAATTTACGGCCAAAAAATATGGGTTTCAGTTGCAGCGAAGTCAACTTTTCTTCATCATCTTCGAGAAAAACATTGGGCGAGCATCCGCACCAATCGACTATGTGCTTGTATTGGCATTTGCATCCTTGCTTTCGTCTCCAATTAACGAAACGCAAGTTATTTTCGATGATTTTCGTGCAGAAATATGAGTTCTGTAAGACCTGGAAGACGGATATCTCGATGGTGATTGTCATGGAAATCGGAACACTGACTGGGCTGATTCGCCATAAGTCATCAACGAACTCGTACCGTGTGGAAATAACTTTCGGCCGGGAGAAGAGTTTGTCGATAGACGCTCTCCAAACCTTTGAGCAAAGGATCCGAGTCTCTGTTCGTGATGAGCCAATCGACAAAATCACGATGAAGCGAAACCCAATCGGAACCACCGTCGAAGTGGATCCCGGTGGGTAAATCGCGATCCCCGAGCTTCCACATCCGATTCTCGCATTGGTGGAAGGTTTTCCTCAAGGCTTGTTTAGCTATGAACCTGGAGAGATGGACCGAAGCTCGATCATACCCTCATAGCCGAGCAGTTTTCTCGTTGAGAGCCCCCGAATCTTAAACAATTTATCGAAATAATTGCTTACCTGGCTGTCTCCGGTCCATGGGGTCGCACAAAGTTCTGCCCCAAATTCAAGTACAGGAACTGCTCGAGTAACTCGACCCTCCTGGAAGTCAATTGGATAGGATTGGAAGATAGTTGGTCGGGAACGGAAAATATTGGCCGAAGATGAACGCACTCACTTCAAAGGGAAATCCGTTTCACTCAGATTTATGACGTAGTCCCATTGCCAGTGAGTCATGCGGATTAAGGTTCCCAGACAACTCAATAACATTTGCAGTAGGGAAGCGCCGCCCCATATCGTTGAGAATCGTCTCGAGCCCACGGCGAGCCAGGAGGGGTCTTCCAGCTCTTTCAGCGAGCGGTAGAGATAATCTTGTCTCTGTAAGGGAAGTAAGTAACACCCTGAATTCTTTCGCTTATCGGGTAGATCTTCCACCACCAATTACCAGAATCTTCCTCAGTCTCACCTCATCGACATGCACGTAAAAGTAATGATTGATCTTCGAAGTGTTCCTCAGAGCAGTAATCAAACGTCGGACCTGACGAACCGATCTCCCGTTTACTGTCAGGAGGAATACGATCCTGGCTCGCTTAGTGCTCGCTTGAGTTCGTGTATTCGCCACATTTTTCGGTGCATCTACTCAAGATATTCTGAGTTTTAGAAAACTGAGAAGTCGAGTCCGCGGCGTGGCCGAGTACGCTCAGTCATTGTTGTCGAGCCCAATCATCCCATAGATCTCATATTAACATGGTCAAGAGAGAATTGCTGGGTACTGACCTGTAGGCAGACCAGTCTTGAAAACTTGATCACAGTCACTGCATTCTATACAGTTTACGTCTTTATTCCACTCGTCAAGTGAAGCATTCGAACAGAAGCATCTTTTCAATGAAGCTGTGTACATCGCAAACGGGGATCCGATCGTGAGACAAGCATTTATACAGCTGTTGCGGTCAGAGTAAATCACCGGAGACTGCGAGGAATTTATATGTCACAGACCGACATGGCGGAATATGTTGGAACAGAGAAAATGTCGAAAATATCAGGCTCACGGTTGGCTTACTTGATTCTTGAGCGAATTATTCATTATATAATGAGGCGAATGCAATGCCTCGAGATTTACAGTTTTAAAACATCCTAGTTTGGCTGACGCTCCTGCAACCGAAAAATATTGTTGTTCCAGTTCAGTGTCCAACCGTTTTGCGTTTCTCAGATTTTAAGCCGTGTCTCCAAAACTCACCGTGGAGCGGACAGGTACTGTTTAATCGAGTCGGATAGAGCTCACGCCGAAGATCTTTGCAGTGGATGTTCGTGATTTCTTCTTTACACTCGGAAGTCTTCGCACGGCGCAGAGCTGAGAGCACATCTGCATTTGTTATCGTACAATTCGGCTTGAATGCCAGATCTGTCGCTGATCCCTCCTTCGTGGGCCTGGAAATTCGCGGGGGAAAACTCCAGTTTAGGTCGGAAATCATCTCGCCAGATTATGAGCGGCGGGAGCAGGGTGCCAGGAAGTAGCTTGAAAAGTCACTCGCCTCTGTTGCCAGGCCTCGATTTCATTCTGAGTCCGGAGATCGATGTTCGGCCCGCTCTCCACGCGTAAAGACTGAAACAGGAAAAGCCTTCTATTCAGCTGTTCTATCGAGAGAACCGAGGCTCACTAATTCTTCCGACCATTCTAATCAGCAGAACATCAATGCTACGATCCGGCGCAGCTCCGATGGAGCTCTCGTCAATCGCTGGTGAACTGGTAAATCATTCCGGTTCTGCTTTCGAATGACGCGTCCGCTCGGAGGGAATCATAGTGGGGGATCCGATGAAAAGGAAAGCAACAAGTGACTCACCCCGTAAGCATATCCCGATGAGTCCGGAATGCCATAGAGAATATAGGCCAGGAAACCTTGCGAGAGGAGAATAGCTACCGCAACTCCGAGCAGGAAGACTGGGAGATACCTCCGAGGAATGCAGTTCGTCCCGATTCGGAGAATACGGAGGAAGGACATGACGAACTAACTTCACTTGACACAGGGTTTCATTTTGCATGTTCCGTGACATTCATGACACAGACCATCAAAGAATCTCAAGCAACAGAGGCTTCAGTCAGGTTCGCGCATTTCTCCCCTGCAGTCCGCTTGCGGTGTTCGCGGCAGAAGCTCTCCGTCTGATAGGAGAGCCGTCTGTCTTACTTCTGTAGGCTAGCGCCGCCAAGCTCTCCCTTAAAGCTCGGAACTCGCTTAGCTGGTGCGAGTCCCCCAAGACAGAATTGTTCCTCTCCGAACACATGTTCGATGTGAATTTGTTTGGCGGTGTTAAATTTAGTAAACAGAGGCTCTTGTGATCGGAACACAGTATTTAAGATTGTGACACCCTTGAAATCAACTTGGATAGTTCGGAACTTATTGTGGTGGACCCCGAGCCGCTCTGAGAGAGCTCCGTGAAGTGAACTTCGATTACGTTACTGAACGCATTCAGGCGAACGTCTTGTTTCGAGCGTAATCGGATCATCGACTTTTGCTCGAGTGCCCTGAAGTAACGTCGGAAAATCTGACCGTCTAGTCTGGTTTCCAATCCCGCTTGACGGTCAGGAAACCGGCCTTGGCTGATCATGTCTGGAGGTGCGAAAGTCGAAGATGGAGAGCCGGAATTCAAGACACCTTTCCTCCCACCGCCAGAAGCATCAAAAAGAGTCGAGCCGGATGCCCTGTGCAAAGAGCCGGGAACGCAGCCGAGGGGAAACGGGGAATCATCAAAATCACGCGGTACAGAGGAGACCGAGTCGACACGCGACACGGCACCGAAGAAGTCGGTACGAAAGCTGCTCCCCGCGCAAAAATGTCCGTACGAGGAGCCGGAATGGTCCGGGGAACCCGATTCGAGTTACAGAGTCGTAGTTCTGCGTAACGGTGTCATCGTCACCGAGGAAAAACTCGAGAAGAATTACGTCGTAATCGGCAGGCATCAAGACTGCGACATTGTGTTGGAACATCCCTCGATATCCAAGTTCCACGCGGTGTTGCAATTCCGTCGACCTCCGGCGGACGCACCAGAAGCCGCGGAAAAACTTAAAGGTAGTTGCTCCCTCAGACTTCATTCATCGAGGTGTAGATTTTTTCCTCTTCATCGGAAACTTGTGCTTCTTCGTTGTATTAAAAATCTTTCTCCTTTCTCTAGGTTTCTACCTATACGACCTCGGCTCTACGCACGGAACGCAATTGAACAAAGAGCCGATCGATCGGAAAAGCTATCACAGGTTGAAAGTGGGACACCAGTTCAAATTCGGTTTCAGCACGAGGACCTTCATCCTGGAAGGTCCGACACAGGACGAAGAGCCTGAATCGGAGTTCTCGATAACCGAAATAATCCAGCAGCGAAAAGAGGTGGGGAACGAAGCTTCTCAATCCTAATCTGTCTGCCGTTGAATTTTCGGTTGGAAGCCGATGCGGGAAGCCGACTGACTTATTCATTTCCCCCAGAGGGATTTAGAAAGAGAACGAATCCAAAGAGAAGCGCGAGAGACCGCGGAAGATCGACCAGAGCAAACTGAAGACACCGGGATCAATTGGGGCATGGGTCAGTTATTCACCCACCGCCATCTCGATTGAGCATTTTGTGCTGGGCAACGAGTCTTCTCTCCGATGACTCGGTGCTGGGGCTCTTATCTGATTACGAGATTGTTTTGCATTGCAGCTGAAGATGCCGAGGAAGATGACGATATGATCTCTGATGTGAATCCTTTCGCTCTAAACAATACGATGAATGAGCAACTATATCTCGATGATCCCAAGAAAACGCTGCGGGGCTGGTTCGAGCGAGAAGGATACGAGCTCGAGTATAAAGTCGAAGACAGAGGACTTGGTCAATTCCAATGCCGGATAGAGTAAGCATGGGTTCTGTGGCGAAGGTTCTGTGGTCTTCGGCGAACGGTGGGTTTGACGCTTTGGATTGAAATTGACGAAATGCCCTCCTCAGGCTGCCGATCGATACGGGTGCTGGTAGATCTGTCATTGCGGAGACGATAGTCAAGGGTAAGAAGAAAGAAGCTGTAGTTCAATGTGCGTTGGAAGCTTGCCGGATTCTCGATCGCTACGGAGAGCTTCGGAAAGCTCATCACGAGGCCAAGAAGAAGAAGACGAAAGACTGGAAAGAAGTGAGCGGATGAACTACATGGATGAGCATTGTGACTATCGCAAGGCAGGAATCCGACCACCCGATAGTCGTCCGCGATGACTCGAATTATTTGCAGGATGACTATTACGACAGTGACGAAGACGAATTCCTGGACAGAACAGGCGATATCGCCCAAAAAAGGGCGCAACGGAAGGCGCGTCTTGAGAAAACTGAAGTTGTGGAAACCTACGCTAGTCTCACCGAGAAAATCGAGAAAATCGATCTCCGGATAGCTGAAATTCAGAACGAGCTCGAGAAGTCGAAAGAAGCAGGTGAGCGCAAATTGACTCGAGCAAGATGGACATGGCCCTGACGGCAGTGGAGAGCCCGTCAGGGATCTCCGTCCGTCCACTTTTCGCCTGGTGATGCCCCGATAACTGTTTCGAGCTACCTATTTGAATTTTCTCAGAGGCCCAAAGCAAGGAAATGGAAGGAGACTGTCTCGATTCCTTCATGAAGCAGTTGAAAGCAGGAACCGGCCTCGACAAAGTCAAGAGATCTCAGCTCAGAACTGAGCAGACTAAGCTTATTGTGGAACGGCAACATCTCGTGAAATTAGCCAACATCGCCAAGCCAGCCGGCTTACCACCGCTGAGAACGTGAGTGCTACGTTGTACACAGCGACGTCCAGGAGCTTCGATTTGGGGGAGTTAAATGTTGAGGAATTGCACTCTATGCGAATATTCAGATTTACAGGGAATCTTCCGCGCCGACTTCTGATCTCTCTGTATGCATCAAATTTCAGAGCTCCGTCCTTGGGAAAAGCATCCACGTCATGCTTGCGCGCCGCGATTCCCATGACAGGGTCCATAAGAGGACCAAAACGACCCGTGATGCCTCTCGTGGGGCTTCCCGCGAAAATTTCGCGGTTGAAGGACGGAATAACGAGCTCGGAATCTAGTGAATCGAAAGAAGACTGATTCATGGATTTTATCGGACGACGTAGAGTCCGTGCGTCCAATAATTTAAGATGCGTGATCCATCAAAGACTCGATCGGAGGCATGTTCATACGGAACGGCTGGTGGCAGCTCACGAAGTCCTTCGCGAGGTGTGAACTCAAAATAAACGCGTAATCAAAGTCGGAAGCGGTGTAAAAACATCGTCTTCATCTATCATGGTCTGGGTTTTTTGGAATTTTTGTGAACGGACTTCCTCGAAGAGCTCCATAAATCTCAATCATGGCGCGGAGAAATTCTAGAACTCGGATACCATTCATGCGAAGGGGATTATTACTTCGACGACGAGCAGGCAGAAAATTCTCGGGTCTGATCCATCGCGGAGCCCCGATTCCGCTCCGCCCAGGGGCAACTGCTGCCAGGAAGCGATGAATCGACAAATGCTGCGCCCGAATGACTGGGGGAGCTCAAGCTGAGAGGTGACGTCGCCAGGAAAGAGATCATTCGAATCACGTGGGAGTACTAGATATATTTTCGCTACTGATCAACAATTCAGAGTCGTTCAATGCATATTTCAGTGCTCGTCGAATCCCTCGGTGCAATCGACTTTCGATGTCTCTGTCGCAACCGCACGAGGAATAGCACGAAAATTCCAAACACCACACCCCCGACAATCCAGAGGCTCATGAGGAGCGCACCGGGTGCTGGAAGGGAAACGCCATTGGTCAAGATTCTGACGACGAAAGCTCCTGCCTTATGTTTCCAGAGGCCAGCTCGAACACTGATATGCCCATCCCCAAACTGATATCCCTCAATCCTCGAGGTTCATGATATCTGGACGACGGAGAGTTCTGCAAAACTTCTTACCCGAAGAGAGTGGCTCCACGGGAGATGGACCGAGTGGGGAGTCGTTGGATATAGATCTCCGCGATCGGAGTAGGAGGGGAGAAATTTCCGTCGGAGTTGGTGGGCTCGAGGTCAGCGAATGTGCTCGTCTTCGGGTGGATGCTTTCTTCCAAGATTCTGCGAGCATCTGAAGCGCATCAGGCCGACCACTCAGGAGCAGTTCGCTGCAAGAAGATTTTTTTTCATTTCAACAACGTGTCACAGCGTGTTCTCCCTCGATTACAAGACCGAGGTTTCGGTTCGCACTCGCCATGTCCCAACGGGAGAGCGGAGTAAAATGAACTCACCGGGGACTTTGGGGCAGGACGAAATTCTCGCCTGAAGCCGGGACCCTTTTTTTGTCGTGATTGATTCGGTTGTCCTTCGATTTCCTGAGCTGCTCCTGCAGGAGTTCCGTCATATTCGTGACTCCGGGTCTTGCCTGGACCTGAAAAAGGATAGCCGCTTTATGCGATGGTAGAGTCGCTGCTGATCGGTAGTATTCGGCATCCATGACAAGAGTGGGCTCCGACTCGCATGCCGGACGTAAGATTGATGAATTTCTTCTGTCTTGATTTGAATTCAATGCCCAACTGAGCAGGGATAGCTAAATAGACAGAAACAGGCTAAGCCTCTATCTTGTCCAATACAGAAGGCGGGAAGGTCGAGTACCGGCCTTGTTGAAGACTAGCCAAGAAGGCAGTGAAAGGATAATTGTGACGGGTGGGTTACTCACGAGAACCAAGATCGGCTTCCAGCGGTAGCCGGAGGATCTCTTCACTGCGTCCGGCTTCATCTTAATTATGGGCTCTGTCATTTTCGGAAACACTTTGAGATCACCTCGCCCCGTCAAGCCAAGTTGACCTTTCTCACTCAGAGAAGGGAGTCGAACCCAGTACTATGCTGTGATCGTTGACGCCGTCGTCTTTATACCTTGGAGCTTTGCTGCGACCACAGCGTTCTCTCCATCCGTACCTCTCTACTCGAAGGTGCGCGTCGTATCGACCGCAGAAATATCGTCCCAAGAGAACTGCGGATGCCACTGCCGGGCTCGCCGCAGAGGTTTTGTCTACGTAAACCGCTCTTGATTCGATACGCAGCAGACACTCTAAATGCGGTTTACTAGCAAGAGCATGTCAAGAAACCGAAGCCGACATCTTCGATATTTCCCGAAAGTCGCGAAGCATTCCTGCTCGCGGATCTCTCTCCGCAACGTTCGAAGAGGCATGCCTGTATAGATTTCTCAGCGGAAAACTCGCCACATGACTGGAATTCTATGCCTATTTACTTCAACAGCTGTCCAAACAACACAGACGTCATACCGGGCAATTGAAGTGTATCGTAGATTACCTAGTCGGACATTCGTCTCTGGATTCCTCAGCCCAGGAGGGCTCGAGCTCTAGAGATCTGAGAAAGTCCGATCTTGCAAAGAATGATTGTCGGATAAGCACCTGTATGACCCAGAGCAAATGATCGTGCACTAGGTTTATATCAGAGAGTTGAAATTGCGGAAATTTCGTCGTGCCCTTTGGATGATAATCGAACTTTCCATTAGCGGTTGTACCGCTTGCATTCATTGGTCCACGAATGCACACCTCGGGAGTTTCGCCTCAGGACCGGCCGATAAGTCTACGAGCTGCCTGTTTGACTGCTTTTTCTCCCGGCAAGCCAATATACTATATGGTCCCATGAACTACGACTGTAGAAAAGGCAGACTAGGCTGACCGCAGAAGGAGTAAAGTAGGGATGACAGGTGGTGCTGCTTGTACTTTCTCTCTCGAGGGCGAGGAGCACGGGCACTGCGGTTGCCCCTCGCGGATCGGATCGAAGGGAACCAGGCTATCGGGCGACTCGAACCAGAAGGGGAACTTCTATCCCACGAGTTGGATGTGAAGTTGGGAGCTTAAAGAGGTTTGAGGTGATTCAGATCCAAAAGGAGAGCTCGGCGGTACCGGGTCTGACTTTGTAACCACGATGTCTGCGAAACTGCGGCGGAGTGCTGAAATCCCGCAACGAGAGGCTGGAACGATGGGCCCTGAGGGAACCCGACGCGAACACTTCTATAGAACTCGTATACGGAGAGCTGGGATGGTAAACGTCCGGAGCTAGAGGAGCGAAAAGTAAGCTCATGTGCTGTGATGCGCGTGGGCCAGCTTTGCTGAGATGAGCGAGAGGAGGTGGCTGAAGGCCATTCAGACACGATGATGAAGATCGCGAATATTCTCACCAAACTCCGAAGAAGAAGTCTGGAGTCGGAGAATAAATTCGGATGCTAAAATATCCGAGAAATACCAAGTACCAAGGTCAACCCTGAGAGTGAGTCTTGGTGTTCACGAGGAATACGTGAACGGAACCTTCGAAACCAAGTTCCACCGAGACTGGATCGATGCAATGTCCGACGAGAAATTCCAAAACGGTACAGGACTTTAGAAACAGTGCGAGGAAAATTTCCTGGCATATCCTATATTGAGCTCATAAGCGGTAACACGATAGGCAGTCGCCTCCTAGGTAATGCTGGTGCGGGATGTTTATAGACCAGGAAGCTAAGGCTTCAGTTCAGAAAGATCAGAGCGACCTTGAGGAGCATGTGATTCTTGAATGTGGAAACCTCCTGGTTGCTGAACGTATCATACGGGAAGTGCTGGGTCTACGCGAAGAGAGCACCCCGAATATGCAATTCGGCTCAGGAGTCATGTTGGCAGATCGAGAAAAGTTCAACAGCGACAACCTAGACGGACACGTCGTGTAAATCCGCACCCGTCATCGACAAGCTGAGTCATCGCCCCGTATTCCAGGGTCTCACCTCCTTCATTCGAAATGGTGATATACATGGGGAGGAGGTTGTTTGGCACTCATTGAATCAATCATCATCAATGGAGGTCCGAAACTGGGTTGACCGAGAAACTGTAATTTTCGATCCACCGTGCGGAACTCATGATAAGATCGTATGTCTCTCTCCGCTAAATGTGTACCATGTTGAATGCGATGTGAGTAGCGCCGTCGTGTGGAAGCAGGAAATCAAGCGCGGCCAGCCGGAGTCGGCATCTTCCGGAAGAGGGTCCGACTCCATATGTACATACAATCGACTCGGTGAAAGTTCGCCAGCTCGGCAGTCGAAAGCTCGCAGCATAGGTACGTCATAGAATCCGAGCCCGACATTGAAAGGACTAAATTATCGTCCCGTGCAATTGAAACATGGGACCGCCTCTCCGCAATGTCGTCAACGCCGGGTGAACTCTTTCTCCTAAAGGTGAAACATCTAGCGCATTTCCGTGTGCTGCACTCGGCTGGAGGTTCTCCCGAGCCTCGTTTGACGAAGCGTTTCCTCCATCAGCACGAGGTCTCGCTTCTCCTACGAAGGCCAGCTTCTTCTCACTTACTCGCCTTGCTGTATCCGTTCGGACTTCTTGAGGTGTCCTTGCCCAGGGAAGTTTCCGCGATTCTCCGGTCTCCGCTTTTTCTTTGGGGGAGTGCTGAGGATTTGAAACAGCTGAATTCAGCGATGTACGCTGCACCGGAATTCCCGCCGAAGCAAGGCATAGGCTACTGGACTCGAGAGCGTATCGTGACCGTTGCATTGTCCGGCCTCGGATGTATGGTACAAACCGCCTCTTATTCTGTGCTAGCGCCGTTCTACCCGGGTGTTGCGAGAAGCAAAGGCAACGACGCGACCCAAACCGGGATCGTCTTCTCTGTGTATGCATTCGTCGGATTTGTCAGCAGCCCTTTCATCGGAAAGTTGGTGAGTTTTTCTGAGCTTTCCAGGCTCTCTGGAGGTCCGTGGAGTGAGAAGAGGGATCCAGGGATTCTCCATTGAGGCTATGGTCGATGCATCGAGGCCGGAGGGGCTCCATCGATACCGAAGTCTCGTTCCACAATGGGGAGTTGGCAGCTGGGGACCGCTTCGGATGCGGGAGCGATCATCCGGACGCGGTCCCTGACTTCGAATCGCCGCTGACGAGCCGATGTATGTTGAAGGATCAGAGGCGTTTAGAGGGGCTCGAACCATTCTCTTGAGCGCACGGACTGGCTGGATCGAGTACGGGTCCTAGGAGGACGGGGACTCATCAAGAGAAATTTTCGCTCCGGCGTCGTCCGCTTGGAAAAATAGGATCTATTTCGGATCGCTGCGCTCAGCATTTCGGCGAGGGCTCGAGCCACCGACGCGAATATCTGTACACGAGCCTCAGCTCCGGAAAAGGCATACTTGGAGCGGGCGCGAGGAAATCTCAGTTTTTTTTCTCCAGAAGCGTGAAGTCTACGGCTGACAAACTCGGATAGCTGCTCCTCCCGCCGATTACTTCAAAAGCTTAGAGCGGAAAATACTCGTTGACGGATGTGTCCGGTCTGGAACGTCATTCCCCGCCTTCGAAGGCAGTATCGGTCGCAAGTAGGAAGCGTATAAACCCGCTGTATATCTGCCGACATCAGCGAGCACCACTTGCTCTACAAGTAGATTTCCGCATGATTAGCCGTCTCGAATAGCCCAATGTCTGTTTAGTACAACGACTGGACTGAGTTCTCTCATCCGATTCGGAGAAGCTCCAGCTGTTCGGTCGACATCCATTTTCAGTCAAGTTCAAACTCGGTCTCTCCGACAGCTGTTGCTCTCGCCGCGCGAAGGGCGCCAGACATATCGTCGCCGACAGCAGCGGGAAAAATCACCCGAGGAGCTCAAAGTCTCCCAAATTCGTAGCTGACCCGACAGGGCTGCTAATCTACCGGCCTCGACGGATGGAGGATTGTCGAAAAAGGAGACCTACAGGAAAAAAATCTTTGTTCCTTTATCACCGAAAAATCATCCTCCGCTGCAAAAGATGGTTCGGCTTTCCCCTGTCATCCTCATGAGGGTGAAGACGAGGGAGAATCTCCAGTTTACCGATTACAGCGGAAAAGGGCCTTCCTCGACCGAAGGTCAGGGTCTCCACAGCCTCTGAAACTACATGCACCGTTTGCTGCCGAGTTTGACATATCCCCGATGGCAAGCCGAACATAGGAGCCCATTCCCGTAGAGAATCCCGCAGTTTTCGTCCCCGACATTGAATATCGAATGATTAACTCTCCGCGTCAGTTATGGGGCAGCGAGAAGATCCCAATTCGCTGGAAACGGGAAAGAAATTGCTCGGAGCCTGCGAAAATCGGGTGCTCTTCTTATTTGCAGCTGTCGTGCGGTATCTCCACGAAGAGGGTGATACTGCTCGGTCTAACTCTGGATGGCCTGTTCCTCATTTCCATGGCGTTCGTGACGATTATCAAGTCTCCAAACCTATTTTTCGTCACGTCTCTCGTGATCCGCGTCCTGGAAGCCGTCGGGTTCTCCATGTGCCTTACATCCTATTACACTTTAGTGTCTGCGCAGTTCCCGGATAAATTAGAAATCATGGTGGTAAGTTGATGAGGATCCCTCTAGTAGTTCTTGAGGGGACGGAGATTGGATGTGGTATTGTACATTTGCCACTAAAACTGATTGCTTCCACGTTTCAGCCTCTTCTAGAGACAGTTTTCGGGATCGGAATCATGATCGGACCTGCGGCGGGGGGTCTGCTGTATAGCGTGAGTGTTTTCCCCAAGCTGCAGTTTCGATTTCCTCCGTCGATAGTCCTTGTGCTGCTGCAGTGGCAGGACTCTGCCGCAGCCTTGATACCCTGAAATAGATGGAGATCCCCGAAGCCGCCACGGCTACAACTATCGAATAATATCACTTAATTTTCTGCAACCTCGTAATGAGCAATTCGGGCGGACACGTCGAGTGACGATTGCGCTCCGAAATTCTCTCGGTGAAATTTTAGACGATAGAGAATGCTGGAGCTGTACTCAAACTTGTTCGGACGAGCGAAATCGGCGACAGAAGAAATCACTGGAGTACTTTGAATCGTCTCGTCTCTTGTTTGATTTTGACAGACCAAATAAATCATAGAGTCCGTGTATTGGCCCTCCTGTCGGTTCACGGCCGTTCCGGGAGCTGGGGCGCCTCTGATTCCCGGGTCAGTGTGCGGAGTAGTCGGAGGACCAGGAAAAGTCTCGCAATAGTGGACAAGATCAGAAGCAAGCCTGACGATGAGTGATTTTCTTCTCCAGGTTGGCGGTTACCGTCTCCCTCTTTTCGTGTTCGGAACGTTGAGTTTACTCCTTGCAAGCCTAGTCCTGTTGCTTTTACCTGATGGGACGAAGAGCAAATCTCTCCCTCTCTCCACGGGTACCGCAGAGAACGAGGAGAGTCTGCCGCCCAGGGTGAAGATGAGGACCCTCTTGAGAGATCCTCGCATCCTATTCGACCTCATCACTGTCACGGTTTGCTGTCTGATGGTTGGTTTCAACACTTCTACGCTGGCTCTGTGGATAGAGCAATTCGACCTCTCCATTTATATGACTTCTCTGATATTTCTAACCTACGGGATCGTGTACGGCTTATCCAGTTTCGTCAACGGACTCATTTCAAACCGATTGGTGAGCGATTCGTAATCTTATTCTAGAGCTTCGGTGATCTTTCATGGAAAAATACTTCCGGATCTCTGATCAGGGCTGCTCAAAAAGCGAAAATCACTCCGGCTCAGAGGCGCCCGATCAATTTCAGGAGGACTGTAGGATCCTAGTGTTGATCGGAGGAGTCATTTTTTGTGTTGGAATCTCATTGTTGGGCCCACTGCCCGGTCTCCCCATCGACTCGTAAGTACGGAGTTGTGCGAGGAGCATCGCTGAATTTTATATCTGAATAATGGAACTGGGAACGCAGTCTTCACGGATTTTCCAGGTCACCGTGGCTGATACTTCTTGGGCAAGTTCTGATGGGGATCGGAAATGGCGCCATTTACAACCTCAGCTACGTCCACGCTTTGAAATACGTCATGTTAGTACGCGGATCAATTATGCGATGCCGATTCTCTGAAATTTGATCCCTCGGATGTATTCGGTTCAAATGCTGTTCAGGAGACTAGAACTCTCGCCTCCACAGTGCGCGGAAGAAATACGCCCCCACACCCGCAACATACGCTCTCATAGCCTGTTTGATTTCCACCGGCTTCTTTCTTGGAGCTTTCATCGGTCCCATCCTCGGGGGTTTCCTCTTCGACAGGATTGGTTACCCATGGGCCACCTCTTTTGTCCTCCTGGTCGTCGTTGTTCCGGTAAGCATCGCCTTTTCGGACCCTATCGGTCTTCTGGTGGGTCGAGCTATCTCGCGATGATCCATAGAGACGAGCCCCGAAAGTATCCATCGGGCAATCTCATTTGTATTCCAGATGCTTCCCATGTATCCTCTGGTCATTCGAGACCATCTCCGCGGAATCCTACAGAGCTCCCCTGCTTAGAGCTCCGCTTCGAAGGGAAACGTTCAGTTCACGGCCTTCAACCCGACGCTTTGCGAATATGTCCCATTTAGTGGTTTCCTCTCAGCATATCGGTGACACTCCGGAGCACTCGCCTCCATAGGATCTACAAGGTCATCAAACGAATTTGTGAATCACAAGAATAGAATCATTACCCAAGTTTTGTCTCTTTTTGCAACGGCAGCTCAATACAAGCGAGTAGGGGTACCTCTAGATACAATTTTAAGCCCAAGATCGAGCCCAGCTCGAGCGCCGAAGCCTTCAGGACTCTCGGTCACCCTTGTCAGAATCCACAGAGGTACGACAATGCTAGGAGGAGGAATTTCTCTCGCGACGACTCTACTATGTGCGGAGACCAGTTGATGCTTGATTGGGTTGTGAGTTCTATCGATGCGATTGAAGATTGAACTAACCATAGGATAGCAAACGTGAACACATCCGGTTATGTATTCAGAGCGTTCATCGCTCCATGAAAATCTAACCCCTATTCGGAACCGATATTGCTTCGACTCAAGCGAAGCTCTTGGCCATCGACACGAAGAGAACTATTCTGCTCTCAGAATGCCAATCCTGAAAAGGGTTGGAGGACCGTGGAGGCTTCATTGGAAATTGGAGGCAGCTTCCCGTTCCAATCAGCCGATGGCCTATGCGGTCCAAGTTTTCCCAATTCCTGAATATCAGCCAAACCTGAAGCATTCGCTCGTCGGGCCGCATCGACCCCGGACTTGAGCTCGCCGTAATGCTGCCCCACCTCGGAGCTCAGCCGAATTCATTCACCCGCACTCTCCAGTGCATGCGACACGGGATCTTCAAAGTTCGAGCTCAGCAGATTGCCAACTCGATGGACACGGTAGGCTCCTTCAACACATTCATACTCCTCTCCTTCAGTAAAATCCCCCGCTCGAGTAATGATCCTCACAGGGATCATCCTTGCTCAAATTAAACACCTCCCATGTATCCAATGGAGCCACGAATCCGCGATACCTCGTTCGTTTCACGAGATCTGAAATTCTCAGTATCACGCCTGGAAGGTCGACCTGAGCGGGCTCCCATGACATATTCCGTATGAGCAGGCCTTCGATAGCGCTTCGCTCAAGTCCAGTTGCCTCGTCACCCCCTTATCCGGCTTCCCTCTAGAGAAGGAATCGTAGAGGGTACTGATGCTCATGTCTGCGATGCATTGAAGAAGACGAGCAACACTCGACCCTGGGAGTTTCTCTATCTTGAGGAATTCCGCCGCTGAACCTCCCATTTCCATCCCCAGTGAGATACTACAGGAGCAATAATTCCGCCGATGGAGCGCAGCGTTCTCCCATTGCATCTTCTCCCGGTTTCCGTCCCTATAGTCCTAGTGAGGAGATCGCGGTGTCTAGCGAAACAGTTGTCACGATGGAGAGCCGCAGTGTCCGGGGAGCAATTCAGCTTCAAACCTCCCGGAGCTCCCGTGGCTCGAATGACGGCTGTGGAGAGCTTGACGAGTGATTAGTGGCTCCCCAGGCCTCTTGTGACTCGGTATATCCTCAGGTGCCGTTCCGAATGTCGGGCAGTGCGAGACGCTGCGAGACTGTCAGCAGAATCTGTGTATACGAATTCCGAATGAAACCTGTTCAGTGCGAGGACTCTGCCGGACTGAACACAAAAAAATATTTGATCGGAGATGGACCCGATACCTGATCGTCTCTGCGAGATCCCTTCCTCCAGTCGCGCCTCATCTGGCTCGCACAGGACACGGTCATCTTCACGTTGTGTCATCTTGTTTTCAATGAAAGGGTCAATAATCGTGGAAATAAGAAACTCTGGCCAGTCGCTGGTCGCCTTCCTGCGAGCCGTCGTGATAAGGATAATCCTTGGAGAGTGCTCGAGTATTAGAAATTGTGCCAACGGTCTCGGAAGGCCAAGCTGACGGAGCTGACAGTGATAGAGTTATTGTATAGAGTTCCCTGCTTCCTCCGTTCGCGCTGTACAATTAGGCGCTCAGGTGCGATTTTCGAGGGTCGGTTGTGCTCATTATCCGCTCCTCGATGTCTTCCTTGAAATCCCTGGGACTGCGACTTCCTTTCCGAGCCTCATCGTCGCATGAAGAAGCAGCAGAGACTCCGGACCATTTGTTTTCATTGAAACGGAATGCGATCCATGCTCTCGGAATTCTGAGCAACTTGGATGAGCAGCGGAAGAACGCCTCGCACTACTGTGACGTTCAGATAATCACATCTGACCAGAGGGTTAGTTCAATTACAACAAGTCGAATTCTCCCGAGTCTCGCTCTCGACTCACGAAAACTGCAAAATATTAAAGGGAGTGAGTTCTGAGAGATTTCAAGAATCCGTCTCGTCCTGCTTCAGGATCTCTGGGCACATAAAGTCGTCGTCGACGTCTTTACCAACTATTTCGACGAGCCGGGTCGTTTCGTATTGGATCATATCGACTCTAAGACCATGGAGGCTTTTCTCAACTACATCTACACCGGTGATCAGCCTAAGCTGGATGCCGAAAACAGCCTGAAGATCATGATATCCGCGCTGGAGCTTGGGCTCAAGCAGACTTTCCGATTTGCTATAAGTTACTGCGTGGAGAACCTTTTCGAGGCGAGCGATCGATTCATTATGTATGACTTTTTTCGATGCGATCATACCAATCATCTTGATTCGCCTCGCTTCCTATGGAGTCCAATCAATTCATCAGAAAGGTCTCATTCAGGTGATGTCGGGGGAATACTTCTGCTCATTATCCTACGAGACTCTCAGTAGCCTCCCACTGTTCGACGAGAGCTATCTTCTGGATAAGCTGAAAGAATCCAAATACCGTCGGATAATGCATAAATGGATCTCAATCGACCCCGAGGCCCGCTTGGGATACCGAAACGACATGGAAAACTTGTTTTCGAAGCTATGGACGCAAGAAGACCATGAACGGGCGCTGGCTCTCGGTGTCAATGAGCAAGGATTGTTCAATTTCGTTCAATTCAATCCCCAGGTACTCCGCCGGAGAGTTCTCAGTCTCCTCATTCTTGGATAGTATCGACGATGAAGTTGGCCGAGAACGACCGCTCTATCCCTGATCCCAATCTTAATCGAGACCCCCGTCATTTCAGGATCGGATTTGGTATCCCTGCGAGTTCTCATTCAAGCCCGCGGTGGAAACCGCTCTCTCGAAAGTTGTTCAGATGGGTCTCTACAAGACGGAGCACTTCGTATTCCGAGACTCTTCTGATAATGTTTATTATTCGTCGACTCAATTCAAACGGATGCAGAACAAAAGCTCAACTCTGGGTAAGCGAGAGCTCTTGCGGATAAAGACACATTCGAAGCCCATCTATGACGCCTAGAACTTATGGTTCCATTCCGATTCAGGTACTTTGGTGGGCTCTCATTGTGTGTCACTGCGGCAGATCGATGGTCACATCTACGCGTTATTCGACACGTTCAAAAAATGGAACGGCGAGAGTCGGAAATTCGAGACCGTCATTCCGAAAGACGTTTTCCACCAACTGGAGGTGAACGTGCGAGACTTCACGATAGATGACAGGAACACCAATATATACTTCTTGTGTGTGTCCCAAACTGACCCGAATCGCACGGGAATCCTCACCTACGCGCACAATCCTGAAAACCCGATTATGGTGGCCTACGCAGGATTGGCCACGGCGACGAGTATTCTGACAGCAGGCGACGATCATTTGATAGTATACGGGAATTCAGCGGCGAGTGCGAGCTTCCCCGAAGGCGATGTCTTCGTGTACGACTTGGCGCAGAAGAGGTTCCACCAAGATCTCTATCTGAATCAGAAGTTCAACGCTGAGGGCAGCCTGTTCCGGCTCAACAGTAAAATATACTCGCTCGAGACGACAAAGAAGGGTGACGAGAGGTCGCATTATCGAGTTCGGGGATTCCCCCTCAAATACGACCATCGCACACTTGATTCAGTCGATAGGGTTGATGAGAGCATATCCTCCATCAAGGCGGTTTGCGTCTGTCCACGGAAAGCCTACTATGACACCGTTTATGGCTCTCACCATCCCACTACTAGATTCCTTTCGATCGGAATCGGAAAATCCCTCAATGGAGTGGAGTAGAGACCCCGGATGCGATTATCATGCGCGATTACCGGATGCGAAGCTGGCTGTGCTAAGAGCGTCGACTGGAAAACCAATCGTGACAGGAGAACAGGCTTCCCGTTCACGATCTCCATCAATTCATTGCCGTCAATCATGAACCACGACGTATCGAGGAATTAATCCCTTGTGTGAATGAAATGGGTCCAAGCTCCCATGGATGGGACTGACTTGCTATCTTTGATATCGATCTCGGGAAACTAGATGAGAGAATGTACGGAAGTAGTTTTATGTCCTCGGAAGATAGCCTCAGTTTCTTGGTCAAATATTCCGGTGTAGTCGGGAATCGGAACCCGGCTCCCCGATAGTTCTGTTCTCGGATTCAATTCGTTCTCGTTTGTCGATGATCGGAGGTTGTGCTCTCGATTGTGGAGAGAAAACCCTCTTCCGGGTCTGGAAGGCTACCCCAGCCGAAACAGAGCTCTACATTGATTCAGGACCTAGAGTGCTCTGTTTCTCAACAGTATACACCCTGGGGAGGGCCGGTCCCTCCACATAGGCGCGAACGGAAGCGGGATGATCACATGGGAGATTCGTAAATACTCAAATGATCCTTTGTCAAGTCTGCTTGTATGTAAATATCCTCCATCGACATCTTTCCTGACAGAGATTTAGAAAAGTTCAATGACTACCCGTCGAACAAGACGACTCGCTCTACTGCGATAATCCTCCTTGGCTCGTGCGATTATGGTGGTGATCGAGAAATACTCTCCGTGACGACCCAATTCGCTAGAAAACTCCCAGAGAGACTAATCGAGTAACGGCGGGGAGTATCACTGTGCCGAATCGGCAGAGCGCCGGCTTCTCTCGAGTACACCCAGATCAAGAGCATCCGTGATCCACAACACCCCTAGATGATCCTGGTATGAAATTTTCCCGGAGGCATTTGTGAGCACAACGGGGAACTATTTCTAGAGAAATCAATACACGTTACTTCGAGTAAAAGCTATACAGCACGAGTTTTCTCGAGTTTCAATGTCTGAAAATGTCGCATCCTAATAATGGGGTGTCTAGGAGGACGGAAACAACTGTACAAATAATTCAACACGTCGTTCGTAAAAACACTCTGCTCCCGGAGAACCATGAAGAATGCATTATGAGCTCGAAGTCGATTGTCAAACGCTATTCACAATAAATATCACGCTAAAATAATCTGTAAGATGTATGAGGAAAAAGACATCTCCGAAAACTTGATTAGCTCGCTCCAATGAGCGGCGTTCTCTCCGTGGCATTGTCTTCATTGAGGCAATCATTAACATTTGCGTACGATCTATTCAACGGCGTGCGATTCATCAGATCTGAAACAAAATGAGCTCTTATCGGCGGAATCCCCTTCATTCGCAGGATATCTCTTGATCTCTTCGACTGTGACCAATAGGACATAAACCTAAACCTAGTTCAGGAACAGGGAAAGGGTTCGAAGACTTTTGCGCGAGAGGACTTGGCCTTATTGGACGAGAACGAACCTTTGCGACGATGGGATTGCTTGGTGTTGACCAGAATCAATAAAGCGATGAATCCCAAAACAGCAGCTCCGCCGCACGCGTAAACCATCACATAGTGGTAGAAGAATCTGACCGGTACTGTCAGGCAATTACTGTAGGAGAGAGAGTACGAGTCAGCAATGCACAAAAACCCCGACCCCTGCCGAATTGAAGAATGCCCAACCGAGCGAGCCTCCGACGAGAAGTATTTCGGATTCGACTGCTTAATGGAAAGGAAACTTTTCACTGTTTTGGAAATGCATGCGAGCGAGATGGCGAAGACACTCACTTGCACTCATGCAGACTCTCGATCACGATGACAATTACGCCATTGGATAACTTGTCGAGGAAACTCATCGCCCCGAAAACGAAGGCGCCGGAAGCCGTGGACGCCCCAATGAGCTCGTTCGTGATCGCTAGACTAGTGATGAGTAAAATTGTGCTGGCAATTCCAATCATTCCAGAAACCGCATATATCTCATATGTTTTGAATGTTGGAGCGCCGTCACCGAACTCAATCCAGACGGCAGCTGCGATCGCGAAGGTGGCCCCTATGGCGTATATGCTCTGCAAGAATGAGATTCATAAGGAAGGCGAATAGATTTCGTGGAGATGTTTGTTTTTCACAATTCTCCGCACGTACCCGTAGTTTCAGTCTTCTGGCCAGCAAGTTTATTGGGAATGATGCCACGAAGCCGCTGACGTACATCACAAGGGGGATGATGGCTATGCTGCTCTGTGGAAAATCAGAAATTTTAAATGATCCGAGGATTTCTAGACCCAGGGCATCGGCACTGTATCGCTCCGAGGGCATTGAACAGACCTTCGCGAGCTGCAAGGTCTTTTGCAAGTATAGTCCAATGAACACCTGAGACATGTTGACGTATAGTCTCGTCGCCATGTACAGGAGGCCTGTCTGAAAAGCGGAATTCATCATGGGAGAAACCTCCTGTCATTAGTGGGAAGAACATTTTGTTTCCCGTCTCGAGACGGGAGCGAATCAAAGCTCCACTTACAACATAGAATTGGCTCTCCATGAACCATTCTTTCCAGTTGAGGTGCAGCGATCGATCGGCTGTGAAACCGCTCGCATCAAATGCGGCATCATCTTCTACGCCATCTCTTGTCGGGTCAGGAACGAACAAATGGAATATAAGAGAGAAGACTGCCCCGACCGCAACCACGATGAGCACTATCAGCTGGGGGTCGGAGGGGGCGGAGGAACACAAGGATTAGACTGAGTCAAGAAATCCTTCGAAACTTAAGATTTTCGTCAATAACGACTCTCTCACCTGGAATGAGTGAGCGTCACCCGGCCCAATCTGATCCGAGGAGCTACTATCGTCAGAGTGTACATTCAGAACGACCCACGTGATGAGATATACTAGCATGTTGCTCGCAACGGTGAACGCGTATCTGAGAGCATGAGAGTCCACATTGATTATTGGGCAGAACTTGCCAATTTCTCGCGAGAACGCGCGATCTTTCCTCTCCGCGTAGCTCGGGTGGTAGATGGACAATGGTCGCGGCGTCGCGCACACTCACCGGAAAGCATTCAGCGAGACTCGCTCATTCGGTACACATGTCAAGTCAGGGATGAGGCTCAAGTGAGATATTTGGGTTGAGGCCCAGCCGAATTGGAAAATCACAATGAAGATTGAGTAATAAAAAACTGGGCCCAGCTATCAGCTCCGCTGCACCAGCTGCACTGCGTGAAAATGAAAGGGAAGCTGATGAGCACGGCTACCGTTCCTGTAAAAGACCAATGAGCCCAATTGAATTCCACAGTACCCTGCTTGCGAGGGGCAAGCGCACTCCCGACACCGATGGGGGGGTTTCATTGTAAGGACATCTTTCCTGAAAACGGTCTCTCTCTCGCAACTCACCCACGAGATGCCATCCTTTCCGTTTGCCATATTTCCCGCACAGCCATATCGTCCTCTCTTTGTCGGACTCGAGCCCTACAAACGGTGTTGCTAGACCGTCCGCGACTTGACCGACAAGCAGAAGCTCCCCGGCGAGCGTCGGTCCGAACTCTTTCACATAATTGAAGTATAACAATAAATAGGTAAACCACATCGAGGCACAAAGGTCGTTGAGTACATGGCCGACCGAGTAGGCCGCCTTCTGTCGGAACGCGAGACAGGAAAAGGGCCGGATCCTCGTCGAAGGGATGCCGATGCTGACATCCACCTCGTCGTCGGATTCGTGGTTCACGATCATTTTGTAGTTTTGAAGCCTGAAAGGATCGAGAGGTGATATTTTGAGGTCCGGCTTTTACTCTGTGTCTCTTTGAGGTTTGGATCAGTCTCGAGTATCAACTTCGTTCTGTTGTCAGAGAAGGAAACCGATAGACTCTGTGAGACCCCGCAGGGCACGCTCTGGGATCATTTTCACGGTAGAGAGGCACGGAGGGCATTTCATGAATGACATTCTTATTTTTTCGGTGCATTGTCGTAAGTACGAATAACGGCACCACGTTAAAAAAGATGACTGAGGAACGAAAGCGGATCGATAAGTCTTCGAGAGCTCTTTGCGACAACTCCGTCCCGAAACAAATTCCGCAGCGCTGAGTGCACTTCCACTTCAAGGAACATATGTTTCAGCTGCAAGCCTCAGAACACTGCTCCCGGAATCTGACTGTGAATGCCGTGCGCGAGCCTGTTGTCGCCCTCGAGCTCCGGTGTCAAGCACACACCACACCTAGCCAAACCAAATAGTTCTGGGAACATTTCTCGAACAATGCGAGACGACACTCCCGGCATCTGTAGGGTTTTCCGAGAATCGATCGCACACGATCCGAGCCCGAGCGCTGAATGATTTCACGCAGAACAGTCTCCAGAATCATGAATGCCGGGATTGTCGGGAAAAATCTGCTCAGGAGGCGAGCTCAGATCAATCCGATATCGCGTGATTCTTGAACATCTCCCCGAAAACTCACTCTAGCGCTCCACAGCCGATCACTGCGTCCGCCGCACTGAGGAGATATTCGCAGTGTCTCAACGATACCACTGGATTAAAAGTCCCCGCTAGTCGGAGACATCGATGATACTATCCGCAGAGCTTTAAAGCTGATGGAGCTTTAGTCATTCTTAGGGGAACCTCAAAATTTATCCGAGAAGCGAGCCACCACGGGGGCGGGGGAGTCCCCCTTTTCAGTGATTGATTGCGTGTGAGGCGGCCGTGTTCCCCCACACCGTGGCACCCTTCGCGACGATTTTTTCCGCCGTCGACAGCTTTCAAGATACTTCATTCATTCGATTTCATTATCTCAAGTATCTGCGTGTGCAGACCGACGTTGGATGAGAGACCGAATCTAATCCGCGAGGCGTTTGCTTGTAAACAGAGGAGGCAGAGATATTTCCGTCCGTTTGGTCACCCCTCCGAAGAAACGTCAGACGAAACTGATCGTGGCGCCGAGGAGGGCTTCTCGACTCCATTGACAGCCGGTCACGTCAATCACTGTCATTGAAAGCTCAGAAGCCTTATCGTTCCGTTCCGGAAGGTCTGTACTCACTCCACATCATTTGCGATCAGTGTCAAGTCGAGTTTTCGCTCGACGTATGATCCTCACGGATACTACGGCACCGCATCATTGGTTGAACTGAACATTGCCTGTTTATCTGATGATTCACTCCGGCCTGGCGTGGGAGAGGGCGTCAGGCCCTCACTTCTCACTCTCTTGCAAACCACCTGCTTCAGCACGCGTGCTTATGTGAAGAAAAAAAAGTCACCGCTCATTCAGAATCTACTCAGATTAGCCTCGCACCATAGCTCGAAGATGATGGATCTGATTCTCGGACATTGAGCGAAAATACTCGAGCAGTGCGGGTTCTCTTCGAAACCCCTCCGTCGCGAGAGCGTCGATTCGTATTTCCCGCTCGTAGCAGAAGCGAGCAACGCTCCGGCTAAACAACAAGTACAACAGTGCTGCTCGGACGAAATCAAGCATTTCTGACCGGAGCTCAAGCGAAGTGAGGAATCGTCCTGATCGAGTCTCTCGTCGTCGTTGTTCGGGCGTCTCCGCTCCCTCAGCAGCGCTTGGTTGTAGGTTGGAAACGTCAGAGGACAGAGTTTTAGCGCAGTTTCTGCGGAACTTTATGACTTCGCTCGGCTGCGTACTTGTTCTCTCAGTCGAGCTTTGTGGAACCTACGAAAGAGGATTCGTGTGCTGACGATGAATGGGTTGGATCCGAACGAAGCGACCGAAACTCTGAAGAACCTCCTTAAAGTTGGTCAACCTCTACTTTCCTCTTCTGTGATTGATGGTAGCGGCAAAACCGACACCCCGAGTAGCGTGAGTCTTCTGCAGCAGCTATTCGCAACCGCGGCCAACGTTGGAAGTATCAGCGGCATGGAGCAACTGGTCGAGCTACGCGCCTCGCCGGAGGGGGAAGCCATTCCTCTAGTTGCCCAGAAAGATGTCCGAATCGACGTGCGTGTCGACAAAGCCGAGTATCTGAACAACAAAGTCAAGATCCGCAATATCGTGGACCTCGGTTGGGAGAACAAGTGAGTTCGTCTTCCCGACTCTGTCTCGATCGGGCCTCACGTGTATGCGCTCGAGTCTCGTCGTCGGATCCGAGCGGGAAAATAACGGTCATACGTATTTCACTTTTCAGATTCACCTACGGTAATCAAATCGCCGAGCATTGCAGCCGGGGATACCTGGCCTACACTCTGAAAATGGCATCCGGATGCGGAGGTGTTCGGATCATCAACACGAACACCAACTGCAGAGCTCTGATCAAAGGAATTCAAGGCCACGTAGCGGATCTAGCGTTCGCTCACATTAAGAGCGAAGTGATTTTAGCGGTCGTCGATGATTTCGGCAACTTGTACATCTACCAGATCGGAGAGGACGGGGGTATCAGTTACTTTCCGCTTCTCCAAATCAACCGTCATCACAAGACCACCGGTGAACCGAATCGTGTGATTTGGTGCAAGTACATCCCGGACGATTTCGAGTACGTTCCGCAGAACAACGACCAGGACAATTTCTCGAAGTTGCTGATGGCGTCTCACAAGGGTCAATGCGAATTCTATTATGTCGACATGATCCAGACGAGGTACGGTCAAGGCGTCGTCTTGGATGAAGGAGATCTCAAGACAGGCTGTGACGTGGTGAGCAGCGTGATTCCCGGAGTCGTGACCGAGGGCTCGATCGCCCCCGAGGCGACCACGGCCGCGGTCGCTACGTCCACCGGGGTGACGAAATTCATCAAGTTGAACATGACCCAGGATCCTGAGAAGCGTCAATTGCAGTCGATTCACGAGTGGGCGCCGCATCAAGGACCGATCAGTTCGATATTCTTCCTCGACGATCACCAGTCGCTGGAAGCTGATGCTCGTTTCTGGGAGTACGTAGTCACGGGTGCCGACGAGAACCGGGAACTCAAGTTGTGGGACTGCGCTTCGTGGACCTGCCGTCAAACGCTCCGTTTCGACGGCTTCGGTCGAGAAGTGTGTCTCAAAGCCCGCATGGACCTCTCGTCGAACTACATCATACTCTCAGACCTGAGCAACAACATTCTCTACATAATACAGATTCACCGGGAGACGGAAAACGGAAGCACCGTGTCGGCCTCGTTCGCATCGATCGCCTATTTCCACCTCACCTTCCCGGTGATCAGTTTCACCGTGAGCTCTGTCAGTTACTGCAAGTTCAAGCCTATGGAAGAACACATTCTGAACATTCTTGAACGGGAGGATGATGACGAATCCAAGAAACTCGAGGGAGTGCTCGTGGAGCTCTGCTGGCTGACGACGAAATCGCTGCAACACTGCAGCATAATCTACAGGCCCGTCAAGGGTCCCCAACCGAAGCTCCCGAGAAGTCTCGCCTCGCCGGAACTTGGAGCCAGCCTTCCCGAACCAGCGATTCTATATCGACGTTCCGAAAGCGACGCATCTTCTCCGAGCAAGGAAGTAGCTGATATCCTTCAACAGACCGAGTCCGAAGAGAACGCGAACACCACGCCGGAAGAGAAGAACTCTCCGAACGATTTAGCGAAAGCCTGCGAGAAGCTCCAGAATCAGAGCGCCGCCTACGCTCCGACCACGAACTCCGACGACCTCCAGAGGAGCTTCGCGACCGTGACGCTCAATGTCGATGAAGTGTCCCGTGAGCTCGGGGTTCAGCTGACCAGGAGTCTCACGAACGACGTCCGCGAAGTCATCGCTCCGGCCGTGCAGACATCGATCAACAAAATCGGAGAGGATTGTAAGCTGGCGTTCCTGACCGAGGCACGTCAGACGACGCGAGACGCGGTGGGTCAGGTGATCTGTCCGACGTTCGAGAGAATCACCCAGAAACTCTTTGTCGACCTCACGAACACCATGAATGTCGGTATGAAGCAACTATTGGAAAAGATGGAGACTCATCTCGAGGCTCGAGCGAAGGAAAGGCTCGAGGTCAACAAGAAGCATCTCGAGGAGACTATGGTGGTTGCGGCCAACAACATGGTCAAGAGCATCAACAGATCTTTCGAGCACACGGTTGTCGAGAGCATGCTCCAGTGCAAGGAGGCTCTGACCACAGTGGTGGCGAACGAAATGGCCAAGTACGACAAGAGCCTCAAAGAAACCATCCGCGAAGAGGTTTCGAAAGCCATCCAAGCGGAAAAGAGGGCCGTCATGGCGAGTCCTGCGGGGAGCCTGAGTTCCGTTGACTCGAACAGGAATGCGACAGTGCTCTACGAGATCACGCATCTCCTCAGCAAGAACGAGGTCAGAACAGCATTCTCGAAAGCGCTTTCGGTCAGCGACCTCGACGTTCTCATTCAGACCCTGCGCCTGGCCGAGCATAAGAGCATCTTCAAGAGGGACCGTTGTCCTCTCACCCCTCAGGTAATTGAGAATTTTTCTCCTCTTTCCAAATCGGTCAGTAAGTTCGGGTCCTTTCCTCTATGGAGAGCCATGGAGGGTGATGGGATCTCATTCGAATTCCGCCTCTTGCAGGTCCTCGTCGCCCTCATCCAACAGCTGTCCGCCGATATTTTGACGCACACCCAACTCAAGCTGAAGTATCTCGAAGACGCCATGATGACTCTGGATGCTCAGGATGAAGTCACGAGGCAATTGCTGCTTCGTATCTTACCTTCATTCATTGAGTCACTGAAAAATTTCTTGAAAACCAACCCCAACCATGCGGAATATCGTCGAGTCGACCGGCTTAGGAGCATGGCTGAACTTTACACGGACCGCGTATCGGCCATCTATTAAAGTCTTCGAAACCTCATTCCCTCAGCCACCTCCGCGATCCGCTCTTTGTAGATTTTCGGAGCCACTCCCAGGCGCTACAGTCCTCGGAGGGATCCTTATGTACAGAATTAATCTCGGCGATTCCTTGATTTTCGTAATCTTTAGCTTTCTACGGTAGGCTAGTTCGGACGTTTCATTCATGCGAAATAATTCGAAACATAGAGACTTAAAATTTCTTCAATAGTGTCACGAACGAATCGTTCTCACATCTTCAGTCGTTGCCCCAAATAGTTCCCTGATCCCCGTCCACAACAAACTACCGGAAGTCGAAATACCTACATTCATTATTATCGATAGAAAGTGACTCATTGATAAGTCCTCATCCTTGTGAGTTTGTATACGAAGTAGCTCCATCCAGGACGGTTGGAGCCAATAATTTATCGTCGTCCATCAATAAAAACAGGGGGAGTTTTGAAGAGAATGTGTTTTCTTTCGAAAAACGAAAGTCAAACGCTCCGAGATGAATGTCGGTTCGAGTGTGGAAAACACGGTGAACAGTTGAGTCCATCAAGGAAATGTGCTCCATCGCATGTCCAGCATCGCTCGGCTACCGTGTGTTGGCCTGGAACGTCTCACCTCCGGAACCTCTCTTCCTTTCGGATCCTACGACTTGGAGCTCTTCCGTGCCCTGCATTTGCCGCCTATACTCTACAACGAAGTATCTAGAACCATGCTATCCGAGGCGTCCGTCATGTCCACTGTATCATCCGAAACGCCTGCTTGAGGACTTCCTCCTCGTAAACGATCCCGCATCCTACGCGCGGCTTCTTGACCTTCGGGTATCTCATCGAGCATCTTGAGATAACTTTGAGCTTCGTCCGCGTCGCGGGTCCTGCATAGCAAGTGGAACTCGATTACTTCGACTGACAAGTCGGGGTACGAAGTTGAACGGAAGCCTCATCTCGTCCGTCGGGAGCTTTCAGATAGCTTCGACGAGCGGAAAACGGCGAGAAGGTGCACTCACAAATAATATTCGCACAAGAATATGAGGGCTGTCATGAGCGGCGAGCTGGTGCGGTCTCGAGAATCCCATGCGAACTTCACATAATTTTCGTAGGCGAACCTCGCTTTCTCGTTTTCTCGTATGGATAAGTAGAGCTGGAATGATCGGAATTCTCAACGCGTCATTCTACTTCCGAGTCTGGACAAACCTACAGCCCGTCGCTTGTCGATTCTGATATCATTCATTTTTGGGCTAGCGTCCCATCGAACCCACCCTGGCCAACCTGTACAGCGCACATGACGCTTGTTTGAAATCGTTGCCCTTCGCGAGTTCATGCGCTTGAGAGTAACAGAGAGCAGCGAAATCGTTCTTCGCGGACTTCTCGTAACGCTCGGCGAGCGAAAACATCATTTGGGGGCAGGTGGGACGCAGACGCTGCGCCCGCTCTTGATAGTAAAGCGCGTGGGAAGACATCTTGAGCTGCTCATACATCAGAGATAAACTGGCCCAGGCTCGATGGTCTCGTTTGTTCACTTCAATGGCCTGAGCGTAGGAGTGAACGGCCGCGTGATAGTTCTTGATGGCCGCGTACTCGTGTCCCATGAACGTCCAGGCGGGGAAGTAGTTGACATTTATTTTGATTGCCTGTAAATCACCGGGTGTCTCATAGCGGACCCATCGTTCACACACAAAGCGAAAATCCGCTGCGGACTCCGTCGGAGCCGGTACCTGACACGAACCTTCTTGAAGTACAGAAGTGCCTGAGCGTGTTGCCGTCGGAAGCTGAATACGTTGCCCACCACCCCACATGTTTCACTACGATGCGGGTCGACCGCTTGCATTTCTTGAGCTAACTTCGCTAGTTCCTCTTGCTGCTCACCAACAAAGAGGATATTGGACAGGGTATCCAGGTTGTCCAGACGACACGGATCCGCTTCCCGAACTTTCATGAATAGTTCCTGAGCTTCGTCAGCCTGGCTCGGGGAAATTCAAGTCTCAGTAGATATCGGGACAATATAATCCCTTCGAATCTGCAGCTCCCCGAGGAAATATTCTGAGGTTCGGAAACTCACCCCTGGAGGGTATCGAGCGTTCAAGGACACAGCTCTCTGAGTCGTAATGTACGGACAATCGGGAAATATAGTTTCGAGCTTCGACCAGATTTGCTGGACGGCAGGCAACGACGGATCAACGGCGGTCAGTGTTTTACCCAAGAACATCAGGGTTATCCAATTGTACGGTAGTCGCAATGAAATGACCTCAGCCCTCGACCGCGGTAGGAGGGAGAGTTCCGTCCAGGCCGCCCACAGGAATGGTTCATGTTTCAAGGCACTCTGTAGCGTCACCATGGCTAGAGTGTGCAGTCCCATGATTCGCTGGACGACTCCGAAGAGGTAGAGACAGTACCTATCGAGCCGAGAGGTGGACCTGAGATTAAACTGTCTGACCTTCCATATCACGTAGTGAAGAGAAGTTGAAATACTGACCCGTCTTTGGTGACATCGGGGTCGTTTTTCATTTCCCAATAGAGGGTCTTCAGAGAATCGTCCTTAGCTCGACTATCCACGAGTGCACCGATGCTCTCTCCGAAATTATCAGCACGCTTCGTCTCACAGGATTGATATCTGTTGATCGAGAGTTCGAGATCTGACCAGCTGGGCAGACTTCACGAGGCTCGCTAACGGATCCACGTGGATTTTTTAAGGTCCAACCAGAAGAGAATTACTTCGAATAGTAGTAGAGAAACTTGGATTTCGGCGACTTCTCCTTCTTCGCAAAATACTCAGCTCGATTGTACTCTCTCCTGTTGAAGTATGCGAAGCAGCGCAGATATCGCTTATCGGTTTCCTCCGCGAAGAACGAATCGTCTGACGAGACAGGAGCGAGAAGAATAAATAAATCACCTCTAAACGGTAGTCCTCGAGTCCGAATCATTAAGAAACCGCCTTGAAGGCAGTGTTGTTGTACCCACCATCCGGCACCTCTACATCTTTCAGACAGACCAGCAGTTCTGCGAAAAATTTCGTAGACTGCAGAAGACCCCGGGCTTGGCATGCTCGGTAAGATTCCAAAATCTCGCTTTTGATTTGGACAGCGTCGAAGTTTTTCTCCAATAGTGATGAGATCTCGGATTCCATGTCCGCTATTTTCCCCTATCGGAGCTCACTGCAAGATAATCAGCTCTCGTGAGTTCCGCGGAAAAAATACGGGACTTCTCTTGGAGGCGCTGCGGATACCAGTGCGGTTTCCAATAGTCTGAGTCGCCCGAAAAAAAAACGCCTCTCCGGCATGATTATAGGTGCTGGGCGATATATGCTTTATTATATATGTATGTATATTTTTGTACAAGATCAATCATATTCTGAACAATTCAACAGGAGTCCGTTTAACGCGGTCTCAATATCTCCTCCGAGGCATTTTCACAGGTCTTAGATACGGATTATCAGGGACGCCTTCTCGTTCGGGAAGAATTTCTTCTTTCTCGTCGTCGTCCTCGTCCTCAAATATTTGATCCTTCGGACAGAGGGCGATCATCCACGGCTGAGGGTGCGGCTTGCAGGCGATCAAGGGGTACAATTGAGGATTATCGGGGAATAACGTGTGCGTACCCGAGGTTTTCGCCACGAATCTCGTCAGGGCTCGCTCAATGTCACGTTTTTGAGAGGCGAGTTTCTCCCTGATCGCCACGTACTCGGTAACGGGCTGACGATGCGTCGACGTGTGTACGTAGGCATGAGAGTCGGGAAACGGCGGGAAGTGATCAGGTATGTAATTGGGCAGGTTCTTGCGTTCGCCGGTCTGGAGAGTCCGCGGCGTAGAAACCCTCGGTTGGGCCATCGGTGCGGACAAGGTCACTTTGCGGGGACGTCTTATGAATTCCTTCAGACCTTCCATCCTAATCCCGGAATCCACGATAGCGAGGCAAACATCAGCTCCACTGGCTTCGGTGCGGCCTCCGAGCTCCGCGTACGCCTTTGCCGAGTGACAGATTTCGATAAGCGTCGCTTGAAGTACTTCTGTCAAAGTTTCCAGAGCCAGCGCATCGCAACTGCTGAAACCCTGTTCCAGGGCAGTCGCGCAAACTGCGTTCCTGATAACTTTTCTGTATACTTCGCTCGCGCTTGCAGAAGACGAAGTCATCCTGATGCGTTGACCGACTCGCACGATATGCCCGCGGGAAACAAGTCTAATTGAAGATGACGCTCATCCAGTCCGCCCCACCACGGCTTTGGAGATCTTCCTCGAAAGACAGCGCTCAATTCCGTAATTCAGATCGGGCCCCAACGTACCTGAGATTGAAAGGCGGCGAAATGTGGATTGGCGCGTCTTCGGAATTTTAAACGAAACTTTCTTGAGAGAAGACTTTGCGTGAAGCGTTTTGAGCCAAGTATATCTTGACAGGCCACTGACGCTGGAAGTCTATTGATGGAAGAATGTTTACACTTTTTTGAAGCGCTCGAACGGTGCCGGTCGCGAATTTCGCCGAACCGACTCCCTTCCACCGACTGCCAGAATCAAAACAATAACAGTCTGAATGATGATCTTTGCTTTCGATGCAGCCCGCTTCCGAGCTTGAAACTCCGCAGGGCAAGCAGCGCCAATTTCACAATTCCTGCCTCGGTGAGACCCCAGACGATTCGCTGCAGAGTGAGACGCACGCCAACGCACGCCAACGCACTCCCTCATCGATGACTTCGAGGTGCTGCAGTCGCGACTCATCGGCGTTCCATGACACACGGCTCATGATCGAGGAATTCCAAGGGGTAGACTCACTCAGAAACCCTCCCATAATCTCCGCAACGTTGAGAGGACTGGGAGATGAGGGAAATCACGAGCGGCTGCTTCAATCGCTGGAAGGATGGCTCGTGATCAAGGAAGTTTTCCATCGATATCGGATCTTCAAAGAACGGGCACGCGGGCAAAGAACTCGATAAGGCATCGAAATGTCCCACAGTGGTACTTCGCGCAGCCATTCAGCAAAGAACTCGACAAGGCATCGGAATAATTCGAGTGGGATTCCCCCCGGAGACTTTTGGCGAAGAACTCGAGAATGCATCAAAATGCCCCAGAGTGGGACTTCGCTCGTAGTCTTTCAGCGAAGAACTCGACAAGGCATCGAAATGATTCGGAGTGGAACTCCGCCCGTAGACTTTCGGTGAAGAACTCGAGAATGCATCGAAATGCCTCAGAGAAGGACATCGCTCGTAGATTTCCAGCAAAGAATTAGAAAAGACATTGAAATGTCCCGGGGTAGTACTTCGCCCGTAGACTTTCAGCAGAGAGTTCCAGAGAGCATCAAAACGTCAAAAAATGGACTTGGTTGCTGGTCGAAGTCGGCGATGAGAATTGGAAAGTACATCGAGATATAAAGAAGAAGGGCAAAAGCAGAGAGCTTATTCTGCTCTGGATTGATCCTTATTCAACACTTTTAAAAACTGAAAATTATTTACCATACTTTGGATATGCTCCTTGAGCACGCAGGATGGAAAACTAATCAATCGGCAAAATATGTATCGTAACTGGAAACGACGGAACACTCCTTATTTGTAGTCTCCGTAAACATCTGAAACTGTGGCCTCCTAGGCGATATCTTTTTTTGAGCTGATGCACTTTTTCTTTCCGAGACGTCTCGGAGGAAAAAGAGGAACTCCGTCATGCGAGAATTATGAGTCTTGCATGCTTTCAGCGACTTCTCCTTGTTTCGCAGACAGCCAAGTAGCCACTCCGTCGTCCACGCGCGGCTCATGAGGCGCACGAGTTGCTCCGTGGGACGCTGTTGCCAG